GCCCGTGCTACCAGACGCCATGAAGAGCTCGTGCTGGCTCAAGTACCGTCGAGCGGCGGCCTGTGTGAGACGTTTCACTCACAACACAGCCATATGCGCCTCAGACGATGAAACGCGTCTCAGCGGGCCTCTCAGTGCCCAAGAACTCAGGGATGCCGGAATCTGGATACTCAAACGGTTGCAGAGGACAAGCTATCCGGAGGAAACCCACAGTCGGGCGCTGGGGAACGAGCTACCTGGGAAGAGTGATCTGCTTCCGCTCTCACCACACCACGACGCAAGGCGAGGGAGACCATCAGTCAGACTCTCCGATAACGGCGCCAACCTCGTGGGAGGCTGTCTCGAGCTAAAGGCGGAGCTGCAAGCCATGGAAAGGGAGATCGCAGGAAAGCTCATTGTCTTCGAACTTGACCGGCTCTTCAACCTCCCGGCTGCTAGCCACATGGGGGGAGTGTGGGGCAGAATTGTGCGATCGGTGAAGAACACTCGGAAGAAGGTGGTGGGTCCACAGGTGCTCACAGACGAAGCGCTTGTGACGGTGCCCACTGAAGTTGAGCACATGGTCGACAATCGACCCTTGATCCACGTCAGCTCGGAGCCGCCAGACCAAGAAGTTCTGACGCAAAATAATTTTCTGCTTGGTGGCGCTTCGAGGCATCTCGCGCCAGGGCTCGTGAAAGACAGACATGTGCAGCCGACACCGATGGAAGCGTGTCCAAGCTGTGGCGGAACATGTGTGGAAGAAGTGGACAAGAGAGTACGTGCGGACTCTCATCCAGAGAAGCAAGTGGCGCAAGGAGCAGAGAAACCTGCAAGTTGGGGACTTAGTGCTGATGGCAGACCCAAACATGTTTCGGGGCTCATGCCCGTTGGCCCGCATCTGCCGCGTGTTGCCGGCAGCGGGTGGCAGAGTCCGGTCTGCCGAGCTTCAAACGGCTATCGCGAAACTGTACACGCGACCAGCCACCAAGATCTGCTTCTGAGAAGAGGAATGCAAGTGAATCTGTGCAGACGGGGAGAAGGAGGATGTCGAGAAGATGAAGGAAGACGAAGAAGGAGGAAGACGATGAAGTAGAGGACCACAAGTGAATTGAAGCTGAGAACGAGACGAATCGAGAGGAGAAAAGTCAACGCATGGCGAACGAGCGCCGTGTTGGTCGGCCTGGTCTGGCTTGGCTTATTCGCTCGGCAAATGTCTGATGTCCATGTGTGCCGCTTACTAGTGAGTAGTCATAGGAATAGCGTGTGAGAAGTTTGTCGGTCATTTGTGTGTGTTCGGAACGTACGACCGAACACAGGGGGGAGTGATGTTGCCGACAAACTAGGCAAATGTCGCGCCGCTGATGCCGAGACGAGCCGCCGCCGCGCCGCCCGTCACCCCGCCTCGCCGGTCCCGCCGCCGAGCCGGGCCGCCGCCCGCCCAGCGGCCACCTGTCGCCGCGCATAGCTTTTTTCTGAGACAGAAGCAATGGGCCGTATCGACGCCGCGAACGGCGTCCCCCTGTGACCCTGCGACCCGGCTGACCTGTCACCTGTTCCGAATGGGGCCGGCGGGGCCCTGGGCCTGGGAACTGGAAGGGTGTGTGAGGGGACGCGGCGTGCCGGCCGCCTTTTTTGTGCTCTGCGTCACGACCCCTGTATCGAGTGACATTTTGGCCACGTATTTGAACCGATACCGGGCTCTGCTCGGTCTCACTTCACTGTTAGTCGCCGACGAGCTCACTTCGCTCTCAAACGCGGACGGCGGCGCTCTGCTGCCGCTCACGTCTAACTTTTCTAACTACTGTGTCTGTGCTGTACTGCTGCCATCTCGCCGTCTTCGGTCAATAGCGAACTCTTCTATTTAGAAGACTGTGTTTAAGTGGTGGTGGTGTGAGTGAAACCGAAGTGGCGAGTGGAGGAAAGGAGAGCGGCGCGCAGCTCACAGTTCTCACGGTGGCCGGGTCTACTCACTATTCCTATCAATCCTCTGTCATCCTACATTATATGCATGCCGCGAGGTGTGCTCCTTATGCGCTCTGAGACGGGCGCTGTTGAACGACCCAACATGCATGCCGCGAGGTGTGCACCTTATGCGCTCTGAGACGTGCGCTGTTGAACGACCCAACATGCATGCCGCGGGGTGTGCTCCTTATGCGCTCTGAGACGGGCGCTGTTGAACGACCCAACATGCATGCCGCGAGGTGTGCTCCTTATGCGCTCTGAGACGGGCGCTGTTGAACCTTTGATCCGTAAATTATTCATCCGTGTTTATTTATTTACCGATTAGATACTTCCCTTCTTCATTATTCGTTCACTGCCTCTATTAATCCTACATCCTCTCACAATTTCCCCCGGCCGCCAACCCGAATGCTGCGAGACGTAACAAACACTATACAGTCCACACAAGAAAGCCAGAGACGTCCGCAACAAGCCCCATGGGGCCCTTCTGAGTAGAAATATGGCCATCGTTAACCCTCAGCGGCCAAATGGCGCCGCAGGGCCTCTCGGACCCGAGGGTCCCTTTGAACCCAACGGGGGTGGGGGTGGGGGGGGGGGTACGTGTCCCCTTAGACCCCTAGCTACGCCACTGTTTCATATGTATCATGTCAGGTATTTTAGGCTCGCCCCCCCCCCCAACTTGAAAATCGTTCCCGGGCCCCTGAACTCACGTGTGCCTCTGAGGGTCCCAGCACATGTTTATGTCCCTATGTAGGGTCCTTGGGGATTCGACACAAACCTCCAGGGTTCACACTGCTATCTGAGGGCTCCCGGCTCACCCTGGGCCTGGTCTCTTAGCGCCCGCCGCCCACACTGGCTTCTGAGGGCCCCACCTTGGGCTCGGAAAGCCCTAAAGCACCACATAGGTACACGTAACTATTTGGGGTGACCAACGCCGATCTTCAGGATCCTAAGCAGGCTTCTGAGAGCCCACACTGACCCTGAGTGGCCTAAAATGGCCTGGAAGTCCCAAGCCTGTCGCTAAGGGATCCCTTGCCGCTATGCCGTGCGAAATTTTGGTTCCGTTATCTTTTCTTCGCATTTGCAGCGCTTCCCTACATACGAAAAACGAGAAACTTTTTGTTCACACTCCCGTGTGAACAAAATACCTCCTCTCACTGAAGCAAAGATGAATTAGGTACTTCCGATCCACACTTCCGACATTCAATCTCCGCCGAAAGCCCAACTTAGCCATCGGCGGCTGGGATGAGCCCTATGCATTTCACGTGGAACCTCTGCGACTGCATGCATGCGTGAATGAAGGTTTCAGTAAGGTGATTCGATTACTGAGCGTTTTTAACCTTTTTTCTGGGTGATGATCATGAGCGACGAGCGTCTGAACGGGGGCACTAGAGTACGTCGGCAATCGCAGCCATTGTGATTCTACCGGTCGTGTTTTTGTCCAAAAATTTCAAAATTTTTAATTTTCTGTAAAAAAATGACATGTCATAGCTAGAAAGAAAACCTTGTCACCATCGTATTCCTCGCACCATTACGCGTCGAATGATATGCAAAATGAATGAGTAACGACTGGAGAAAGGCAAGATTTAACACACTAAAGTTGATTTTGCCCCCCCAACCGAAAACCTCTGGCGACGCCTATGAGCGCTCAGGCGCTAACTGCCCACTGGTGACCCGCATACGGCGGGGACTTATTTTGTAGACCTACTGTACTGTACCCAGCTAATCTCATCTTACATTGCGAACGTGTACTTTGATGCGAACCAAGCTCAAGATAAACAGCAGTTAAAAATTTCTGCAGCTTCATGTAACGTGTCAGTCATCATGTAGGTAGGTAATATGGCGTCAGTTGATGTCACTTGGATCAGTGATTGGTCTGAGGCAAGGCTTTATAAAGTGTGGGGTGAGTGCCTTGGTTCCTCCGCTCTGTCGCTTCCATAAGGAGTCAGGATACTGAAATCCTTGTCCTCCACGCCGCAACCCCCACTGCGGGCTGGACGACAGGCACCGTTATCTCATGCGGGCTGCTCCCTTGGAGCGGCACCGCTACTCCCGAGGGAGCGCACCCCGTAGCCGGGTGCAGAGAGTGCTTATAGGGGGGGGGGGGCTGGTCGGCCTGTCCATTCGAACGGGCTCAGCCCCGGCGACTCTCTAGGGTGTCTGCCCAGACCAATGTCTCCCCCTAATTCCTATCATCCTTCCGGCTCTGAAATGGTCTTGTCAGACCGAAAGGGCCTAACCCAACAAAATAAAACAAACACAACTGTCTTGGTTAGTCTGACTTTTGAGGCTCTAATCACAATAGGCCGAGGCAATAAATCGCCTTTGAAGTCTGAACTCTGAACCGGTCTTGCTTTGAACGTCCCGTTCAAAGCAAGACCGGTTCAGCTGGCTATGACTGTGAGATTCAGATGGATGAAGAAAATTAATATTATTTTATTGCAAATGTGACTGGGTTGTGTCCATTTAGCTGCAATGAGCCCTTTCGCCACAATTATCTACCTAGGTACTCACTCACTCCACAAACGCGATGGATTCCACGCAAGCACTGCGGCTCAGCGAACCGGTTCTGTGACTGTATCTACATATTCAGTTTTCAACGATCTGCTGGTATTTCGTTTTTATATTCATATCACCCTCCATCGTCCCAGTGCTGTAGTTACTATGTGAGCTGTTAGTGAAAGCACTTTAAATCGAATAGCGTAACACCGTCGTTGGATATCTATATGTGACCTTTTCTAAAAATGTGACGCTTTGATGCGAGTCCTCGGATCAGTCTGTCTTTGAGTGGCCGATTCCCGTTCATCCGACTACGTAGACCAAATGGGTGCATTGGGCTAGGTCGGCACATCAAACGCTTCTCCGACTTCGCCTTGCATAGCTACATAACTATTCTTGTAGTCGCTCAGTGTTTTGCTACATGATCGGTCGTAGCTATAGTGGGTAGTACCAGTGCAGTGGAAGGCTGATTCGCTGACGCATTTCTGATTTCAAAGGTCCCGGTTTCGACATACAAACCCAGACGCCACTCTCCTCAGCCCAGACAAAAACAAGTCACCAAAATAACGATAGGTTTATTGTTCTCTCGCCGGGAGCGGGCAATATATCGGTATACCGGGGCGCTGATTGGCCTGTGTGATAAGTTACCGACTACATCCACGGAATGGGGCTCACGTTCAATGGGCACGATCATAAATGTTTATACAATTGTCACCGTTCGCAGACAGACTGGGTGTGTGTTCTGGGGCCGGCGCCGGGCGCCGCTGACCCGTGCCGGCACCTCTGCCCCGCTCTCTCGCTCTCACGCACGCCGCCGCAGGAGACTAGCTCCTGGCGGCGCCCACTCACTACTGTTTAAAGCTGAAACCAAACGTCTCCCCAGACTGGGAGGGCCACGACACGCAACACCAACGGCGAGAAATTACCTTCTCGCCAGCTACGAGTGAACGGTGCGGGGACCTCAGTGGTCGGTATTGCATCTGAAATCGGGGAGCGCTGGCGGGCAGGGAGGGGGGCGCGCGCCGCGCAGAGTCGGCCGCCGCCGCTGTGACCCGCTGTCCACTGGGAACGGTGCACTGGGACAGAGCGAGAGCTAATGCGAATATTCAACGAACGATGTAACTACTCACGCCTCCGGTATCAGCCGATTGAATAATGAGACCATCACACGCTCAACACGACACAAGCAGATCACTGGAATATACAATGATAGACTCGAGTATTGAAGCCATTCTGCGAGCACTCAGTAATCTCTCACATCTCACACGAATCTAGAGCTCGCGCAACTGCCCAGAGGCCAGAGGTCGCCACCGCACCGCCCTGACTGGACTGCGGTGGGGTCGGCCTGCCCTAACGGCAGGTCCCCCTATATACTCAGAGCACCAACCCACCGGTCACTCTGGGGAGGGGGGGGGGGTGCGCACAGGCTATCACGTGACATCGCGCTCAGGCCGCGCGTCTAACGGGGGAGGGGGTGACTGCGTAAAGTTCGATCAAGGGGGGCACACATACGGGTACAAAGATGAAGGCATTTTCTGAAAGGCAGGGTTTACTGAATGTCACCCCCACGACCATCTTCCAACGAATATATACCGGAACGTGCCAACAACAGACCAGGAAAACATGTAAAAAGTAGGAAGCGGCGGCACGTTCTCCCTCTAAAAATACAAATTTCCTTGTTGGTGAGTACAGACTGTACAGTGACGGGCACCCGTCCGGCACCCCTCGCACACACACACCGGCCTCCCTCGGCCCCCTCTGACTCCGTATTGCACAGCTACAGAGCCGATCGGCCGTCTGACGTCACACTCGTGCCGCCGTCTGACGTCACACGGCCGCCGCTGACGTCAGCAGCCGCCGGGTGACGTCACACAGCCGTCTCGTGGTCGTCCGACACGACCAGCTGAAAATGCTCCTGACCTGAAACACGATAGTGGAAAACAGTGAGTAATGGCACAGATAAATTTGACACAAATTCGACACGCTACAAGTGTCGCGTAAGACTGCGCTCGAAGACGACCTCAGAAAACGGAATCCGCTGATGCGTGTTAACCCTCAACACAAATGTTGTTGACCACTTGATATGTAATATGCATGTGAGGGTTGTGACAAGACACACATCAGCATTGTTGGGTAGCAAACACGATAGGAGCCAGGAGGACAGACTACATAAAATTTCAGGTTTCGGGCTCATTGGCGACGAGACTGCCACCTACATGGTCAGTAAGAGGGCGCCACAAGCACAGCTACACCTAAAGACCACACCATCACAGCCGTTCGCCGTTTCGACTCACTTTCCAGGTAGTCTGCGAGATCCTTGTCGTCGGCCTGAAGGGCCAGCTGGCGGGCCGTGTTGCCGTCACTGTCTGCCAGTGTGAGCAGCGCTCCGGAGGCCACCAGCATCGAGCAGATGGTCCGCCGGCCGTGCAGAGCGGCGCAGTGCAGCGCCGTGTGGCCCCTGAGGGAACACGGGAGGGGAGGAGTTAGATACAGCCTGCAGCTGTTGTAGGGCGCACAGGGGGAGGGTTAGATACATTCTACAGGTGCCATACGTCGCCTGGGGACATGGGAGATGAAGGTTTAGGTACAGGTAAGGTCATACTTATGAGGCGAGATAGGGGTAGATACAAGCGCCAAAAGCCCAGTATCTGACACAGTTCTACACAGGAGAGATGCGGTCATCTGGCACTGCGTAACTATAATCCTGAGCTTACTCACACATTTATTCACAGAATCAAAAGCGATGGACGCTAAACACACATACGAACGATCGATCGTCTACTTTTCCCCACTCTCATCACGTCATCCTCCCTCCATCCAAAGCTGCCTGCCCTCCCCTCCACCCCTCTCCCAATCTCACTTGTCGTTGTCGCGCATGTTGACGGCCGATGCGGGCGCATTGGCCAGCAGGTAGCGGACCACATCCTTGTGACCGGCCGAGCAGGCCAGGTGCAGGGCCGTCTGACCCATGGCGCTGACGGAGAACAGCGATACGCCAGAGGTGTGCAGCTCCTTCACCTGTGGGACGGAGAGATTATGAGAGGGGCAGGGGAGGGAGGGGTATTTTGTTGCTAATTAGGGCTTTAGGGCGCGCCAACTACTAAGGTCATTTGGAGGGAGGGATAGAGAGGGAGGGAGACAGGGGGAGAGCAAGAAAGTGGCAGCTACAGGAGACAAGGCACCCTGAGTGGTCAGACGCACGTGGAAATAAAGATTAAAGAGAACCAGCAACACTCGTAACACCGAGAGCGCAGGTACAAATGAAGAGTTATGGAAATATAAAAGAGACAGGGACACCAAGGGAGATGGTGAAAATGAGCTCCATTGTCTCAGGAGGGCGTAATAGAAAACTCAACACCAGTTCATCCACATTACACGACGGAACGCACAGAGCAAGGTAGGTCTCACAAGGGAAATTACTCATCCCAATGTCTAAATGAAATGAAACAAGTTACAGCATTAGCCTTACCTACGAATTCAAACATCATCACGCAAAACTACGGGCAATAATGTCAGTAAATTAACCGATCTCAGCTCTAATATGTATCCCTCATAAGTCGCGCACTGCACTCGCCTGCAGCTGCCAATAGCTGCACGGTCCGACAGATCATTTCCCGATGGTTTACGTTATCTCCACCTGGCCTATAAATACAATACTCCATCTGCCCGTTTCAATACCGGGCACTGGGTCGGCCGCCGTTTAGATCGCGGCGGCCACATCCAGCGGACCTATTTCACGGCCGATGAGGCCGCTCTGACGCGCCGCGGCCATTCAATTTAGCAGTTTTGAAATGTAGAGAAGAGGTGGCGATCCCGTATGATTCAGGAGGCGGGCGTATTTCAGCGGCTGGAGCCGCGCCATGAGGGCTGGGAGCCGGCCCGAAACATAACGATCATCCGACAGGAGCCGACGGTCGGCCGCAGCGACAAACGATCCAACGACTTGTATACCATTTATATACCTTATATACCAGCCACAAAACTGGCCAAAGAATGGCGAGTGGGTGACCGGCCACGGCCAGCATTTCGTGATATCAATACATGTGGCGATGAGGTTATCAGCTCTTAAAATGAGATGGCCAGGAGAGTTTCGAACCAACACTAAACCGAGCTTATCCTAACATACACCTCTGCCAAGTAGGCCCCGGTTTCACGTCCGCTCTCCTGACTCTAGCCGGCTCATTCGACTGCCGTCCAATTCCGTCCTCACTCTCCCCACCTCTCCCCCTCTCCATCTCCCTCCCGACCCACTCACCCTGAGCGGCCCCCTCTCCCTCCTGGCCCACTCAACCTGGGCGGCCCCCTCTCCCTCCCGGCCCACTCACTCTGGGCAGGTCACCGCTCTGCGCGGCGTGCAGAATCTCCTCCGACGACCGCTCCAGCAGGTGGCTGAAACAGACCGAGCTCCGGTCAGACGAGCCGCGCACGAGCCTACACACCGGTCCGCACGCAGGGCGGCTAATTAGGGCTGACCGGCCGGCAATCACGGTATGGACAGCGGCTTAATTGGACCGGGAGGAAGTGGTCGTACCACCGGAGTTCCACATTAGAGGAGGAGGGGACCGGAAGGAGAGGTCAGAGCAGATGGTCTGATCTGGTGCAATAGGTCGAGTGAATAATAGCTTTACCAGAACAAGAAATGAGGCGTTTGAGTAGGTACTCTGGCAGTGGTTTCTGTCATGAACACCTTTGGAAATGCGGAAGGAAGGAAACACAAAAGCCAGTCGGATTAAACAAAACCGTCATGAAAAAAAAAACAGCTCGTATTTATTCTGATGACCAGTGAGTAGTTATTACAGCCACGACCTAGGTTACCAAAAATGACACAAAACATCAAAAGGCAAACGGTTAAGCAGCGGAAGCCATAACGCGTCGGCTCACGATGGCCTAATGATTCCAAAATATCGTAGTCTACAAAAGAGACGAAAATAACGACACCGACCTATCACACCGTCAAGCACCACCCATCCACCCTGCTACGCTTCCGCCTCAGCCCAGACGCAGCCTATCACCGTCCAATCAGTCGGCCTCTCCGGCTGACTGCGGCCCCCGCCGGAGCCGGCCGAGCCTCTGACCCGGCCGGCAGAGCCCGATGGACGCCCTGACCCGGCCGCGGAGCCCGGTGGACGCCCTGACCCGGCCGCGGAGCCCGCTGACCGCCCCGAGCTGCCATCCATTCCGCACTAATGCCTGCAGGTCGCCGAGCCGCCTGCGGCGCGGCGCGGCCGTCCGGCCCGGCCCGCCGCCTCCCGACTAATTGGTACGGTCGGCCCGGACGCGCGCGGCCGATTGGAGATTTATACATGCGTCCCGGATGTTGGTCGGAGGGGTGGGGTGGGGGGGGGGGGGGCTGAGCTGGGCTCACCTGGTGGGACTGGCCCCGGCGCCAAACAGGCGCTCCTTGAGCCTGAAACGGGCCCACACCGACAGAATAACACGGTCAGTGGAGGCCATTAGAGGCGCCAGGAGCCGGGGACACGAGCGAACGACGGTGGGAGAGAGACAGAAATAGCCGCGGCGTAGAAACGTACTACGCGACAAAGGTAGGAGAAGAGAAATATCATCAAGGCAATATAACAAAGCCTGAGAAACATTAACATTGGTTAAAAAGATGCCATTATTTTCAAACAAGCCGTCGACATTCGAACCTGAGGTATGAAACTCTGAAGTAGAAGTACTCGATAAAATGTTAATTAAGCATCGTTAGCAATGCAAAAGGTCTGTCGCTTGGAAGAGGTAACTGCAGAACCAAACTGAAGACAGGTACGGAACTATTTGGAAAACAGTGTGAATAAAATTCTTAAAACATTGTGCACTGCAGACTAGTGGTGGCCAAAGTTCGGCTACTGCTAGTGAAAAACACAGCGACTCAGACGACCGATCAGTGGAGCTATACGAATAGAAACGACGATGGCTTCACCAGCTATGAGGCTCTTCCAGCTATGCCTAATTGCTACGCCACGACGGATGCTCTGCTACAATTGATGTCCAGAAAAAGACGATAACGTTAACGAACCCATTAGGTACTAAGCAGAAGCTGCATCTGGACAATGTGACGTGATAAGAGCCCGACTATATACGGTTAACAAACTATGCAATGGAAGACTCGTAGCTTAAGTACAAAAAAACGTCTCTCCAAAAATCTGGCCTAAGATGCTTCAAAACAACATTAGGTGCATTCAAGCTTCACAGCCTACGTGCATTGTGCAGCGAAATTAGAGCTACCAAGACGGACAACTAGCCACCAAACGGACGACCAGCCCGTCACGTCACGTCACTATGACGTCACGGCGGGTAACGTCACGCACGAGCTGATGTCGACGTGTCCGGAGACGAGGCTGGTGCAGCTGCGGCGGCCCAGCCGGCTCGACTGGGTGGCTATGGAGGCGCAGCTGCCCACGGACGGGGTGCTGTGGCGCCGGCTGGCGGAGCTACCGGCCCGGGCGCTCGACCTGCCCTCTGCCGGACCGGCGTCCAGGTCCGACTGCCCAGACTCGTCCCTAGGCAGCAGCAGTGCATCAGCCGGCGCCACCACTCCCCACGGGGCCCGGGGTCACCGCAGTGGGCGCCAGACAGCCGGCTGTTTCATAAATCGCGACCTATCACATCCGACGATTTCGCCACGAAGCCACCCGAATTTAAAGAGCATGCCCTTATGAAGTCACCATTTTCTAAATGCCGTCACATTTCGGCCGCGATTTCCAATTGTTCTCCGCTCAGTACCTATTCCCAGCCCGCCGTGCCCCGCGGGGCTCACGTGTACTCACTTGTTGTTGGCCGTGGCCGAGACCTGCGAGGTGACCGCCATCGGGTCGAGGACGTACACGTCCTCAGAGCTAATGTCGGTTACAAAGTGCAGGTGCTCCTGAGCGCGATCGATCCGGAAGAAACGCTCCGCCGTGCAGGCTGATGGACGAAAACAAGATGTCGGGTCAGGCCAGGCCAGACTTAATCAGGCAACTCACTAAAACACACAGCTGGGGCTTAGGACATTCGTTTTTTTTCCACTGCTTTGCCCTTCGGACGAGCAGATAGAAGGCGCTTTCAGTGCAATTAGAGCCATATCAAACCAAATAAACCATGAGGTAAACTTAACCGGATTAGGACGTACTGAATCTGAACCAAAGTAAATAGATAGGGAATCCACGTAGCTAATAAATATGTTTCAGGGGCTAATGAATTAGCTAGATATACAACTGATCGGTCCCCTCAGGAACTCCAAGGTGACCCGTCGTCTCCGATGCGGACTTACAGTCGACGAAACACCACTCGGGGCTGAGCGGTGTCGTGTGCTGGTTCTCCTCCTGCATCCGGTTGATGTGCCGCCGCACCTGCTCCAGGTCAGAGTCGTGGTCCACCAGAATCACACCCAGAGGCATCGCTGAAAGAGCGGAAAACATAGTCACTCAACAGTCATGGTCCACTAAAAATCACACCCAGAGGCATCGCTGAAAGAGCGGATAGAGTCGTTAATCCCGCACACTACTAGCAGCCGCAATCTGTCGCTGTTACCGAGATAAATGACCAAATGTCAAAGAAACATCAATAAGTGTAACCCCCCAAAATATCAGAAGCAAGCCATAATGGCAAAGAATAGGAACACTCGCTAGCCGACATAGGCGGCCGAGATAACTGGTGCGAGCAACGGAGCTTATACTCCTGTTCATAGATGTCGCTAGTGTCAGCGCCTGGACGGTATACTGTGCCGCAGCGCCCGATACGGAAGGGAGCTTATACTACTGGTCATAGATGTCGCCAGTAGTGAGCGCCTTAAAGGTATACTGTGCCGCCGAACTAAGTGCGGCAGGGAGCTGTTACTAATGTTCATAGATGTCGCTAGTGGTAAGCGCCTGGAAGTTATACTGTGCCGCAGCGCCCGGCGTGGAAACCCGCGTCCGTAAACGGCGGCTATCTACCGAACTGTTTCACAAATTTCGCGTCCGATTGTGGAGAGTTTTCTTACAGTGCTGCATCAGGGTCTCCTTGTCGTAGTGGTACTGCTCGTAGTCGGACATGGTGATCCGGTTGATGCGTATCCTCAGCTGCTCCTGAGGGGTGTCCCTGGAACACGAGGAATCAGGAGGTCAGACGAGCGCTCTCTCTAAAGAGGGAGTCATAAAGACATTAGATGTCACAGATGCCTAGCTATTTTTATGGTCCACGCCTGTTGTCAGAGTGAGTTGAGTGTGTTGTTATCACAAAACATTTTTTACTCGGGACACACCGTCTGTTGAAAAAGGCTTCTCAGTAACAGAGCATTTTCAGTTTCCAGCGAAGCCACACACTTGAGTATTCTGAGCACTTTGTGCTGTCACAAAACATGCACATAAAAACCTTCGCGTCATAAAACCACTAACGCAGTGAGTCTCCTAAGACCGCAGCCTAAATTCTGATACGGTGGGTTTGATATAGGTCAGGACAGTTCCCGACAGGGTCTTAACGAGAATAATCATCCTGACTATGGTAATTTCTCTCCTTCCACTTTGACGGGACGAAGCTCAGCAATTAAAACGTGGCATGAAGTACTTAGCCAAGTTTCGGATCGGGGACGGGGGCGTCCCTGTGGGAACTTCAAGGAAGACGAGCCGAAGTTAAGCCACCGAGGTGATTGCTCAAGGCATACTGGAGTGGAGGAATACGCTGGACTTCAAAGACACAGCAGCTCCATTTTGGTCTCCAGACGACGCTTAGCCAAGTTATTTAAAGACCAAATGAAACCAATCACATTGCCATGGGCATTGTCTCAGTGAAAGGAGAATAGATTAAGCAGCGGGCTTAGTCGTGCTCCATTCAAAACCAGCAGCCTTCCAGGAAACTCCCACCCACTGGGCAGTAGAATAGAACTAAGACATCCAACATCTCGAAAAGCAAACATCTCGACCTTTTGTTACAAAACATCCTGCAGATGGTCCAGTTTTAGCCAGTTTTATCAGGCACCGTCACCCCATCGGTCACGAGGTCTCTGGGTGCGGGGATCGGGTCAGGGCGTCTGTCCGACCGCGGCGGCCCATCTGCGCACCGCCGATACATCAGTGGTGCCGTCATGCCGTCCGATTAGGGCACAATCACGTCGGCACGTGGGCGGCGCGCCCGTCGCCACCTATTGAGCGCTCCGGCGGCCGCCAGAGTCCAGACGCCGTGCCGGCTGCCCGGCTCTCTGCGCTGAATCCCATCACAGCTGCACTGCTCTGAACCCCGGCCGGCCGACTCCCGGCTAGCCTCGGGCCATATACGGTGGCTCAAGATCAGCACGATTTCTCAGTCCGGCGGCGGGCAGACGCGGCAGGTGCGCGCGGATCGGCTCGATCAGAGGACGACCTCCATCGGCGCCGCTTCCTCCATCTTCCCTGGACGCCGGCCGAGAAAATGGAACCTCCTAAAGCGGACCGGACGCGCGCGGCCCTCGCCGGCCGGCCGAAATAAACCAGCGGGCTAACTGAAGACGACATCCGTCCCGCGGGATCGGCCGGCTCAGAAGAGCACTCCATCTGGATCGAAACCGCATTACCTCGGCGGGCGGCGTGCACCAGCTCCGAGCTCTGCGGCCGACCGCAGAGCCGGGCCGCAGAAACCACCGCCAGAGCAGCCGACCTCAGTCCCACCATACGGACAAACAGAGGTCTCGGACGCTGATCAGCCGCCGTCTCGACCCGTCTCTGTGATTGCCGTCTGCGGCTCGGCGCAGTCCTCAGTGGCCTGTCCACTTACGCTGAAGTAATTCGGTTTCAATCCAGATGAAAAGCTCCGCTAAGTTGCCACTCCCATGCGGCCAAAGTTTCTGTTAGCCTCAGGATCGGGTCGGGGATACCGACCGGAAAGAAGAGCACGGAGACGGCGAAAAATAGATGGGAGAAATGACCTCACCGAACACAGCAACGAAGGGGAAAGAACAGGTAAAATCGTATGAACAGTCAACTCTGACGAAGAGACACCCTCATTGGTTTTAGTGGACCGGGGAAGACAGTCGTGATATAAACCAAACAAAAATCAAGAAACCAGTAGGAAAAAGTCGTGACGCACCTAGGGAGCAGCTATTACCCGTGAAATAACCCATAACAACTTCCGAGTCTGAGTAACACGACATTGGAAAAATCGTTTCACGAATACCATTTCCGCTGATTTCTCAACTTCCCGCATTTCAAGCGGCACCGGCATTTTCATCCTTCCCCTTTTCACAGTGAGGTTCAGGTGGTCTCGTAGCAGACATTCGCTTCCTCGTATAACTCTCGTTGGCTTCCGGCTCATTCCCGTTTCATTGCGGCAATACGGGGGAGCAGAGAGGTCATCCTGCTAATATTGGTCTGGCCGAGAGCTGCAGTGAGCATTGCTTAATAACAGAGCAGCACTCCGGCTCGAAGGAAGGCCAGACGGCGAGGAGCGGCCGTTAACTCGACACGTGTCGGCCACAGAGGTATCGTATCCGGACCGATGGAGGCTCCTTGGTGGCGGCGGCGGCGGGAAGGAGAGAGAAGAAGCACTTCTCTCACCACACCATCCACGGAGGGTTCTCGGAGCTGTCATTGGGCCGAGGCGGACATTGGACGAACTGTCCAACTCTGACCTCAGATTCGACTGATAACTTGGGCCGACAGTGGCTGCGGGGACGGGCGCCCCCCCCCCCCCCGAGAGCGGTGACCGGGCGGGCAGGTCACCGCCCGTCAAAGCCTGATAATCTCGGATCAATCACTGGAGCTCTGGGACTGATGACTGAGCAACTGATGACCGATACTCTCCGAATCGGGTATGATACTCTGAATGATCGCTGATAGGATAGATTTATTTCAAAAGATGGCGATTCGAGGGGATCGCATGTCTCAGATTTCCATACCCTTGAATGCAATTGGAAACTTCCTCACACGCACTGCCAGTTCACAGCAGAGATCGACATCCATTTTTAAAACTAAGCCGTTGAATTTTAAATCGAGGGAGAAAAACCTCGATCGTGTAGCTAAAAAATGTACAAATCTCTCCGCTTGCCGCTCCATCCCGCGACTCCGTCCATCCCGCTCGCTCGTCTCCACAGACCGACGATAAAATACTGCACTGACATTTCGGGTTATTGAAAGGGGAACCACCCCGACTGGACTGTATCTCACTGGTCGGCGTGTCGATTGGACCGCAGCGCAGAATTGTGAAGTAGTCGCGGCCGACGAGCGCCGACGGCGCAAACATGACTAGCAAGTAGTCGAGAGAGTCTGCGACACGCCCACAGCGCCGCCGGCTATCCCGGCCGGATCCAGTTTTCAGCCGAGATTTCGAGCAGCCGCGGAGCAGGGCGTCGGACAATCACAAATCTCGGGACAATCTCGACAGTCAAAGGTCACTATCCGTCTGGGGCGGACAGCTGATACTCAGAGAGCACACCAGCCAATTAATTCGCGGCAGCCGATCTGTCCGGTCAAACCGCACAGCCCACGTGCTATTTGAACAAAGCTGGGGATCTCTGATCGGACGGACGAGCCGCCCACTCGTGACTCGGCGTCCTATCAGTGCTGGAGATGTGCTGGTGCGGGAGGGACAACAGTCAAAGCATAATCATTTTTAAACTATCTTTTATGAAACGCTGACTTTCTTATTCTTTGAATAATCTTACTCATTGTCATTAGCCAATTCAAAATACGCATAAATAAAATCACATCTCCGCGCTGCTAAAAACACCGCACCCAACCAAACCCCACGCCCGACCTTACTTATCCTAGTCTCCACCTTCCCTCCCCCTCCGCCCCGCGGCGCGCCGGTGACACTCACGTCAGTACGGTCTTCTCTCCGCGCCGCTTGCAGATCATGCGCGCCCGGTTCAGGTGGCTGACGGTGATGATGGACGGGTTGACCCGGCACGCCTCGCCGTCCACCTGCATTGGAATGGTGCGCGCCGTGGTGATGACCGCCTTCCGACACTGACCCAGGCTGGTGCCGTGGCCTCCTGCGTGTAGCAGAGGCTGGGGAGAGAGGGAGGGAGGCGTCACCTTCCGACACTGACACAGGCTGGTCCCGTGACTGCCAGCGTGTAGTAGGGGCTGGGGAGAGAGAGTGGGAGGGAGAGAGGAAGAGTCATTAGTGATACCAGAGCGGAAAGATACTAAAACTTGGCTATGCGACTGATACGCAGATGCGAGACCTTTGTTCGTGGCAATCCTTGGGGCCGTGCAAGTTACAATATCGACTGAGAGGAAATTATGTGGAACAGATTATCCAACATTCCACTACAACAGCTTATCGTGAGAATAAACTTTGAACTGAATGAAGTGCTTGGATTGGTTTCGGGATCTGAGCAGCAGAAGTTTGGCAGTTCCGTGAGAACAAGATAAAAGCCCTGCATACTGAGATTCGAGAATCTAATAAAGTAAAAGGAACATGAAACAAAGGAGAGCGCAGTATGCCGATTTACCGTCCACTAACTAACAATCGTATAGCAACACCACGCCACAAAGCCTATCTGTCGTTACGCCGATACTACACCAAATACTGGAATAGTATGTCATTATGCACGCTCACATTCGCTGGGACTCTGTGAGGGGTACGTGACCGAGGGCGCGGCCACGGCCGGTTCGGTCGGCGGCCAGCCGTGAACTGATTCCGGGAGCGTCACGACCGTCCCGTCTCGTCTCTATAACGCTCGGTTTGTCCCCGTCCCGTCCCATCCCGTCCCGTCCCGTCCCGTCCCGTCCCGTCCCGTCCCGTCCCGTCCCGTCCCGTCCCGTCCCCGTCCCGTACCGGAGGCGCTGGGCTCATCCCAGCCGTGCCGCACCGCCGCCCGCGATGTAAACACTACTGAGAGGGTGCAGCGGCGTGCCACACCGACTAGCAGGTAAACACCCACCTCGGGCACCATAGGGAGATCTCTCTGCTCCCCTCCCCCGCCCGCCCCGCCCCAGAGGACGACACACGGCACCGGCTGGCTATCAAGATCAAAGCTCAACTCTGCTGAGCCCCCAGAGATGCCACAGCGACCCTGATGGGGGCGGAGGTTAATCGAAAACCACTTTCCGCGCTGCGACCAGCGGCTCAAACTTTGCGCGCACAAGTTCCGCGTAAACACTTCGGAGCGTGTGGTAGCGCTCAAGATAAGAATATTGTGTTGGAAGTTTCACAGGAGAGACGGGTTATTTGGAAAGGTCAAGACAAAATTTATTTCTTTGAAAGTAATGAATACATGATTAGCAGACTCAACTAGGGGAGAGCGGGGAGAGTTGTATCATGTCCAAGTTGTATCAGGGCGAATTGTGCCAAACTTATCCAATAGATGGCGCTCGTGACACGACCAGCCGACGAGGTTTTCCGGGCGCCAACTTTCCCTGTTCTGTCGTGTGGCTGGGTGGACGCGTCTCGAGGTGAGAGCCGATTTTATGTTTTTTTAATGTCATTCTAAAAAAATAAGTTGCATGAAAATGTGTGTTTTGGGCATTTAGATGTGCAGGAATTTGAAAGATCTCCGTAGCGCTGGTGATGGTAGGTTCTAAGGCTGCGTGAGTGAAAATGGATTTCTCCAGCTGTCCGCTGTTTTTGAGCACGAGGATGTTTTTTCCAAGATGGCGGCGAGGTACATGTTGTATCAGAGCCGGGTGGGGTATGTTGTAACATGTATGTATGTATGGGTATGCTGCTTTTGATCGCGAAAGCTAAGCCCTGGCTTGCGTTTGTAGGTAGCTAGTCAATACTCGTTCCATTTCGGCACAATGTGTTGGCTTCTTTGCTCTTAACGGGCCACTTTTGCGTCTAGTCTGATGTTTCGTTCGTTTTCGATATTTCGTTCGGATTGCATTGACCTAAGTTTGGTCTAATACCTAAAAGTTAAGCCTTTGAGCATATACATTGTATTAACCCCATTTAACCCTCGCCCTGGCAGGGGGGGGGTCGATGCGACCCCCCCCCTAAGGTTTTTCGAAGATAGCGTAAAAACGGCGGCGCGCAGCGCCGCCAAATTTGGCACAGCCTATGGGGCAACCTTTTTACATATGACCTGAAAATTTCAGGTCCGGGTGACCTTGGGTCAGGTCACCAGGTCAGAAAAACCGGTACAAGGTCATGGTCAAATTTCAATTTTCTTTTTGCACCTGTCCAACTCACAGTTTTCGACTGATTTCCTTCAAACTTCCAGGATGTGCTAAGTTCACCGAGTTGTATAACATATAGTCCGGTTTTTTTGAGGTCACTGACCTGAGGTCAGTTAGAGGTCATTACGTCGTAATGTTAAGCCTATGGGAAAATACTAAATTCGGAAAATACTGGAGATATCCGCTTTGTTTGATCTTTTTTGTGCTTTGAAACCACGGTACTTAACAGCAGGTCACTTGGTGCTTCTTTGTTTGGTGTACTTATCCATGGGTCAGGTCAAATGAGGTCAACTGAGGTCAAATGACGTTTTTGCCAATAACTTGGCACATAATGACGCTAGAGCTTAAAAAATGGTATCATTGTGTTCCTGGTGATCAGCCGAATCAAAGGATATGCGATATGATGCAATTTGGTTAACTTGAACTTAATTTATAAACTTAAGTTTACTTAAAATTTAAGAAAAACTTTAAGTACACTTAAGCAAGCTAAAAAGTATGTCATTCGACGCGCTTTGACGTGCTGAGTCCACTGGTGCTTTTCTTTTTGCTCTATCTTAATTAGATCAAAAGTTATAAGCGAAAAACTTTTGACCTGTTTTTAGCGAAATTTTTACATTTATACCCCCCAAAACCCCCCTAAATATTGACCTAGAGCAACCAAATTTGCACAGGGGCGAGAACTCCGGGGGGCCCACCTACCTACCAAATTTGGTGTTTCTAGGTGCCATAGGAGCCAATCGCGAGGGGGGGGGGGGTCGCATCGACCCCCCCCCTGCCAGGCCGTGTTATGAAAAATGCCCTGCCAGGGCGAGGGTTAATGTTGTTGTTATGTTCAAAACCAGTAGCAAGCACACCCCCTGAAACGTGAAATACCTAGTGATACAAATTACCCCACCACGTGATACAACTCACCCAAGCCATGGGGCAAGTTGTATCAAAAACATTGTTCTATTCGGCAGACCGTTTTTGATACAACTTGCCCCATGGCTTGGGTGAGTTGTATCACGTGGTGGGGTAATTTGTATCACTAGGTATTTCACGTTTCAGGGGGTGTGCTTGCTACTGGTTTTGAACATAACAACAACATTAACCCTCGCCCTGGCAGGGCATTTTTCATAACACGGCCTGGCAGGGGGGGGGGTCGATGCGACCCCCCCCTCGCGATTGGCTCCTATGGCACCTAGAAACACCAAATTTGGTAGGTAGGTGGGCCCCCCGGAGTTCTCGCCCCTGTGCAAATTTGGTTGCTCTAGGTCAATATTTAGGGGGGTTTTGGGGGGTATAAATGTAAAAATTTCGCTAAAAACAGGTCAAAAGTTTTTCGCTTATAACTTTTGATCTAATTAAGATAGAGCAAAAAGAAAAGCACCAGTGGACTCAGCACGTCAAAGCGCGTCGAATGACATACTTTTTAGCTTGCTTAAGTGTACTTAAAGTTTTTCTTAAATTTTAAGTAAACTTAAGTTTATAAATTAAGTTCAAGTTAACCAAATTGCATCATATCGCATATCCTTTGATTCGGCTGATCACCAGGAACACAATGATACCATTTTTTAAGCTCTAGCGTCATTATGTGCCAAGTTATTGGCAAAAACGTCATTTGACCTCAGTTGACCTCATTTGACCTGACCCATGGATAAGTACACCAAACAAAGAAGCACCAAGTGACCTGCTGTTAAGTACCGTGGTTTCAAAGCACAAAAAAGATCAAACAAAGCGGATATCTCCAGTATTTTCCGAATTTAGTATTTTCCCATAGGCTTAACATTACGACGTAATGACCTCTAACTGACCTCAGGTCAGTGACCTCAAAAAAACCGGACTATATGTTATACAACTCGGTGAACTTAGCACATCCTGAAAGTTTGAAGGAAATCAGTCGAAAACTGTGAGTTGGACAGGTGCAAAAAGAAAATTGAAATTTGACCATGACCTTGTACCGGTTTTTCTGACCTGGTGACCTGACCCAAGGTCACCCGGACCTGAAATTTTCAGGTCATATGTAAAAAGGTTGCCCCATAGGCTGTGCCAAATTTGGCGGCGCTGCGCGCCGCCGTTTTTACGCTATCTTCGAAAAACCTTAGGGGGGGGGTCGCATCGACCCCCCCCTGCCAGGGCGAGGGTTAAATGGGGTTAATACAATGTATATGCTCAAAGGCTTAACTTTTAGGTATTAGACCAAACTTAGGTCAATGCAATCCGAACGAAATATCGAAAACGAACGAAACATCAGACTAGACGCAAAAGTGGCCCGTTAAGAGCAAAGAAGCCAACACATTGTGCCGAAATGGAACGAGTATTGACTAGCTACCTACAAACGCAAGCCAGGGCTTAGCTTTCGCGATCAAAAGCAGCATACCCATACATACATACATGTTACAACATACCCCACCCGGCTCTGATACAACATGTACCTCGCCGCCATCTTGGAAAAAACATCCTCGTGCTCAAAAACAGCGGACAGCTGGAGAAATCCATTTTCACTCACGCAGCCTTAGAACCTACCATCACCAGCGCTACGGAGATCTTTCAAATTCCTGCACATCTAAATGCCCAAAACACACATTTTCATGCAACTTATTTTTTTAGAATGACATTAAAAAAACATAAAATCGGCTCTCACCTCGAGACGCGTCCACCCAGCCACACGACAGAACAGGGAAAGTTGGCGCCCGGAAAACCTCGTCGGCTGGTCGTGTCACGAGCGCCATCTATTGGATAAGTTTGGCACAATTCGCCCTGATACAACTTGGACATGATACAACTCTCCCCGCTCTCCCCTACACACACTAAAACTGTCTCCATCGTCCCTACGACTCCATAAAAGCGGCCATTCTCTGGCGATGCAGCCCGCCTTTCAGCGCCGGCGATTTCATCGCGCCCGCCGCGGCGTCCGGCGTCCGGCCGACATTCACGGCTCATCTGGCCGCTGTGGACCGGTCTGAACACGGCCGTAGATCGGCGCCGGATGATCCGTGTGATGACGCCTTTACGGTGTCCCTATCCGGCGGCCGATGGCCGGGGCGGCAGGGCGGCGGGGCGTCAGGACCACCCACACCCGACCCGTCCGTCGCCATCCGCCCGCCCGTCCGCGGCGCCCGAGGGGTCTGTGGCGGATACTGCTGAATTCAACCATGTGATGGATACCGCGAATGATAGCTAAAACTATAAAAATACGCATATCTTGAAAAGCAGAAGAAAAAAAAAACGAAAAAAGTCCGCAGCTGCGGCTCCTTCATTCTTAGGAAGTAGCTATAAAGGAAACGAGGTAAAAATAGAACAAAACAAACTACTAAAACTGTAAAATTCAATCAAGTACGCAAAAAACATGTTGAAAAAGGAGGTGCATAGTAGATGGCATTTAACGAGTGCACTTCACATTTCCAGTGAAATTTGATGTTATATTTATAGCACATAATAAATCAGAAAATACATTTATCAGCGTCTTTTTGATAATTCACCCTCTCTGCGTCCTAATATAAAACGCATTCTATATTTTACACACGAGGCTAGGACTGACAGCATGCCTGGTCTGAGGGCAGGAATATTTCATCATGAAATCGCTGTGGGCGAAAATATATTAGCCGTCATTTCCGGCACAGTCAGATCCATCTTCCATGTGTTCATGCTTTCGCTCCACGGTGATTTAGGGTAGACGAGATCAACCGGGACATGCGGATATAGCTGCCTTGTGAATCTTTATGTAAAGTATTTAAAATAGAAAACATCGAATTATATTTGTAGTTACCTTATGCTAACAGTAGCTCTATTGTGCTACCCTCATGCGTTATTGTGGCATTCTCAAAATAAAAATACGTTATTGTGGCACACTCATTTGTAGTCAAATCGCCTTTCTCACCCGACCGGGTGCGAACACCAACAATCGGGCCGAGCGGAACCACTCGCTCGGTCTCATTCTCCACAGAACGACCTCCCATTTGTTCGAGAGCTTCCTCCGCGACCGGGGGCGAATATCCGAAATGACATCCGGTTTTCATTTGCCAGCTCCGCGGCGTCTACTTAGCAGTCAGAGCACGAGTTTTCGGCTCTCCCCTCCCGGCGGAAACGTCTTTGCGCCCGGCGTTTGACCAAGTTTGTATGGCTGGGCGGGCCGACTTTTGGTATCATTAATCTTCAGTAAACAAGTGGCGGCCGCCGACGTCCCCCAGGCCACATACAGAGGTCGGAAAATACTCCCAGCTAGACCGGGAGCGGCTGACGAAGTTCAGCCCACCCCGTTAAGAGCAACGCTAAAATGAGGCCAGGGAATAATGCAAATGGTGATGGAGATTTCTGAGCTTTTAATGACGACTAAATATCACTGACTTACTACTTTCAGGAAGGCGGCCATTATAAATCGAGAATAGAAAGATTATTCGCATAAAGATAGGAGTAAAATGTGGCTGTGGAACAGAATTCAAAGAATCTCTATTTCGAGAATACTCGCAATATTAGTGTAAAAAAATAACGCTGTGTTACATCAACGCCCTTTGAAAAGTCCTCTACGGTGAAGAAAACGTGACCCGTGTGGCATAGAAAGACGAAACTGTTAGACGGGACGGGACGGGACGGGACGGGACGGGACGGGACGGGACGGGACGAGACAATACTAGCAAGGTTGGTAGGTTACGAGCCACTGCAAGACATTGCAAGCCATTGCGAGACATTCCGAGACGTCACAGCGTGTGTGTGTATTTCTGCGTCACTCACCAGCTGGTAGGTGGTGAGACCGATGACCTCCATCAGGCCATCGGAGGTCGACTGGTCCCGTCCGGCCCACGGGTGAGTGCCACCGCCGTAGCTGTGAAAAGGTCACCGGAGGTCACCAAATGTCGTGGGTAAGTACTAGGTCATGGACAGGAAGACCATGTTTACACACGGTGTGGCTAGTTATCCATCTGTTTGGAGATACCTTGGAAGAAAATAAAACAGTGTGTGAAACCAAAATGTACGTTGCATGTCCTCTGATAGCGTGGCAGGAACATTATCATGAGAATGTCTTCATCATCTTTAAGTGGTAGAGACGGCCTAAAATAAAAGCGTTACGAAGGACTTATAGAAGAAGATGAACTCTACATCCATGAATAACACTCCAGATTCCAAAGTTAGCAACCTTTTGAAATGAACCCAGCCACCGTTTCGTGCGTTTGTCCCTTATCCAATGACCAGATGATCTAGAGACTAAACGCCAGGTCGGAAGACTTTCAAATAGATTCGAACTAGAAAAGAATCTCAGAAAATCGTAGGGGAAGCGGGGGTAACACCGCCACTGTGGGAAACACCGCCACCCCATCTGGCGGCGAAAGTATGAAATGTGAAGTGTAAAAATCCGTTATTTCCTATTGACCGCACGAAGGTAAGCGTCTTCTGATTTGTGTTCCGGTGTTTCAGTGTAATCGAAGCTCAATGTGGGCATTTAAAGAAAAACGCACATTCTCTTATAAAAATTCGATGAGTTGGGAGCACTTTTGAATGTCTTTAAGTAGAGACTCATTTTGATTTACTTGATTACATCGAAAAATAACTGATCGGCTTTGTCCAGTAAGATAAGTTTGCTTGAACCGTGTAGTACATTCGTACCGCTGGCGATTTTTGCTTGTGATCACTTATTGGGGAACACCGCCACCCCGTGGCGGTGTTACCCCAATTGAGGTTGCGGTGTTTCCTGTTTGTAGCGTGATAAGTGATGAAACTCCAAAGACACGCTTTATTTATGTTCGTAGATGTTCCTAAGTCGGGAATAAGCAGCTTATTTGATTTTTTACTTTATATTTTTCATGCATCCCGACCAAGCACTTGCCAGCTGTATAAAACTGGCAAACAGCTGATGAACCTATACCTATTTAGGTGTCCATTACCGATTATTTGCGAAAATTACCACTTACCGACAGGAAACTCATCGCACACGATCTCTGAACAATTAAAAGCTTTCGTAGGAATGGGTTGGGTTAACATCAACACCGGTGGCGGGGTTACCCACACAATTTGTAGGCAGCAAATATGCAAGGTATTTTTAAAAGTCGTGATACATGAAAACCTTTTAGGAGCATGCAAAATAAGTACCTAAAACACGTGAGAAAATGTTTGAATATTGTAACCAAAACAATAACTACCAAGAGACTTCACACATATTCTCTCATTTTGGCGAAAAGCTTAGGGGGGCGGTGTTACCCCCGCTTCCCCTATACCTGTACCATCCAATCAGACGCTGAAGGGCAGTGGATTAAAACAGTCTGATTCTGAGAATATCGGATCCCAGCGGACAGGGTCAATTTCCACTGGAACATTCGTCATGGGGCAAATCCAGCCCATTTTGGATGTTCAGCCGGGCTAAGAACCGCTCACCAATTAGTCCCAGGTTCCTCCAGTTTGTCAAAATATAGATTACATAGAGGTCTATATGGCCTGCTTTATAATTCTAATCTGATTACTCAGTTTCGACAGAATATTGACTCTGAGCACACCGCCGCTAGTGTTCATCCCTCCCGACACGTCGGGACCGTCCGACGCCCTCCCCCTGTGGGGTACAGCGCCGCCCGGGCGGCACTGGCGCGGGTCACGACACCTCCGTCACACAGTCGCTGCCGCCTGTAATGGGACAAGCCGGCCGGTGTTCGCCGCCGGCCGTTCCCGGGAACGGTACAGACGTGCCCCGGCCGTTCCCGGTAGCGGTGCAGACGTGCCCCGGCCGTTCTCGGGAGGGCCGCGGGCCCCGCCGCCCGAGTCGGGGGTCACGGGGTCGATGGGAGGTGAGGTGACAGGGTTCAGTCCACTGAGCTGGGACTTCTGACGAGGGCCACCCAATCAGGGTACATGACGTGCCGCGCTGCCGCTGTTCCATGGGGTCATGAGGCCACGGACTGTTGTAGTCATCGCCGTAACAAAGGATTTACATCTAAGCAAACTTCTACTGAAACACGCCGGGGTGTTCTACTTGGTCCGTATACGAGGCGGCTTACACCCTCAATTCCGTGGTGCGCGGAGGATTTAAACGAACAACACGAGAGGCGGCACACCGCCGTATTGACACAGTGACGAATAACAAGACCTTCTTTTTGACTCACACCTACAGACACCCATTCAAGCATGAATGTGTATCACAGCGTATATGGAAATAATCAGAATAACCCTCATTCATTGTACGATCGCATTTGTACTCATTTTAATCGTCAACGTTTATTTATTTGATGATAATTCCAAACACCTCTCAAAAGCGCTTCAACAGCAAGAGCTTCCACATTTCTTCCGATCCATTAGTCAGTTACCTCCCGAAAAGCAGAGCAGATTCGTGGCCTATGCTGCGACATTGTGCCAGACCGACGGCTGCTCTCCATTGGGTAACAACACCCGGCCGTCATCCCATTGGAAAACATTCACGGCGATGACCTTTCGATAGGGGATTCATCTGCTCTGCTGCCAACAAATGGATGGTATCAGTAGGAACATTGGCCCACGGGTGCATGCAGAAAAAGAGCGCCGCCCTGGCAGACAACCTGACTTTCTGGTGAAGGAGGAAGCAGGTTCACCGTTTCTCACGCTAGCACATTTAAACTGGAGCTGATGCAGCTAAATGTTAAGAAATTACCGCAATTTCGCGCCCCAGTAAAAGTAATGAACCTCAGGTGTAATGTCCAGGCTAAATACAGAACAACCACACCGAGCTAACACTTACAAAACAATGTAAAAGAAAACAGTTCCAGGTTCTCTGCAATGTAAAAAGAACAGCCCGCAGGAAGCTCCATTCTCTTGCACTATTTTAGTCGAGAGTGAGACAAAGTATGGAGGCGAGAGAGCGAGCGTGCCAGACTTCAACACCGCAGGCTTTAGACGTGGGAAATCGCTAACCCTAACCTGACCTTCTTCCTCATTATAGAAACTAGCTGAGAACTTATGAGCAGGAGAATGACGTTCCCATCAACACTTTGCTCAGAGCTTCAAGCTAGTTGATGAAACACCCAATGTAAGAATCAATTCAACAGCTAAACTGAGAACCAAGCTGTAGGCATCAATCAGTTGAACAGTCGCTCATTCACAATGTTGCGTTACTCCACTCTGACTCTTGGAAACAGTCTTAATCTGTATGTGTTGGTATAATGCAATGCTATTGCAAAATCCGCTTACCTCAGAGGATCCTATCAGTCTGCCATCGATTTATGTATTCCATCAAACCATTGGCAGTCTCTCAGTCCGCGCAGGATAAGCCCCCATCTCACACGTGACACGGCTGTTTTACTAGCCGAGCTGACGCCCCCGGGACAGCAGCCAGGACACACGGCACCCACCTGGGTATGTTGAGGAACAGAATGGCGTGCACCTTGTGCTCGCGCAGCTTGTGGGTGATGTCCGTGTCGTCGCAGACGATCGTCACGTGCTCCGACAGGTCCTTCCACCGGCGCTGCAGCAGGTCCTTGCCGCCCGCCTGGCCGTAGAACATCTTGTTCCGTAGCCGCGAGCTGAACTTGTCCGGTCGCGCCTCTGCGGAGCGGGGGGTCAATGGGTGATAAACGGTTCTGACTGCTAGTCAGTCAGAAAATGATGACGGAAACCCAATGAACAAAACAATGAATATAGTACGGCCAAGATTAGGTGCTGGAAATGACCAAAACAACCAGCATACCCTCCTGCACTGCTAAATGGGCTTCCTCAGGAGATAACAGCCAACCTTTCTCTCGGAATTAATTCCCTACGTTTCGCACTGTGCCAATGCCGGCCGGGCTCGTGCCATTCCGTGAGGTGGCTGATATTTTCGCCCGGTGCTGTCGTGGCAGGGCCAACCTGTGATCACCGACCCGGCACCAGCCCCGCCGCGCAGCTCTAAAAATACTCCGAAATAGCGCCGCGCCGCCGGAGGCAGCGGCGAAGTTGGCCGGCCGGCCGGCACACCGGTATGTAGTTTCACATTCTCAGTAACTGGTCTGCGCGGTAAAGGTACCTTCCCGCCATTCAGTCCGAGCGGCGTCCCGCGCTGTTCGTTGTCCGATCAGCCGGAACACCTGACAGCGATAACTTCCAACTCTAACTCTGGCACACCCAAATGCGCAGACCAATTCACTCCCCTCCCCGCGGTGTGACGCGTGACACGTGCCCAATTTCGTGTCGGCCATGCGGCGATGGGCGACCGGCAAAGCCGACCAGGGTTGTACCGGCCCAAACGACCGTTTCCTGCCAACCCGGCTCACCAGCAGTGAGGCGGGCTCGGATTGGACGAGCAACTGTCCGTGAGACGCGCACATCGGAACTCGCAGTCTGCCCCCCAGCACGGACAGTAGGGATGAGGGGTAAGGATCGATCCGTGATATACTCTGAACGTCCGGGTGAAGGAAGGGCTCAGTGAATAACGCTGGCGCTATGGATTTTGTTCCACGTCCGTGTATTGATCACGCTGCGACCCATGCCATGTTTATTACGGCTCCCACTTCTGTTAGAGCATTGCCAAAGGTCAGTGATCTATGAATGCAGCCATAACTCATAGAGGGATGCCTACAAGAGTACAATATTCCCTTTGACGTTGTGGAAGTGGTGGGAGACAAACACTTACATACATCATCTAAGTAATTGATTGTAACATGTCTAAAGCAGAAAATACAGTTGGTATGCAGGACACAACATGAGCTCATGTTGTGTCCTGCATGCTAGCAACAACGATGTTGTTGCTAGCAACAACATCGTTGAACTGATAATATTTCCGACCGTTGAGTGACTGAAGCGTCCACCGAGCACCGTTTTCCATCAAGGCCCCGAGCACCCACCTCTGGCCTCGTGGAACTCGAGGGCGATGTGGGCGTCGACGCCGAGTGAGAAGTAGTTGTTGATGACGTTGAGCGGCAGGTTGTCCTTGCCCTCCTCACTGGGCTCGGCGTCCTCGTTTTTGGTGACGATCGCCTCCCACCGGTCGAGGTCCTGCTCCTCGCCCTCAGAGATGTTACACAGGATCTTGGAGATAGGCTCGTCTGTGTAGCCCTGTGGGGAGGAGAGACGGAGTTGTTACTGGATGTCCCGAAGTACGTGGGTCCGGTGTTATGTGGCCAGCCTCCTGAAGTTTCTAGTTGATGCAAGGATATCATCAGTGCGTCCGGTCATGATGCATTAGACGCAACGGCAAATAATTATTTTTAGTCTGTTCATGTTGACGATGACGTATTATCCTTAGCCGGCGAATGGAAGAAACGCAATCTTATTCATTACGTTGCAATAGAATTTAGAAAGAAATGATTGGTCGAAATTCAAATAGCCTTGCACTTTCCAGCGTGAGTTCTGTATCCGTCTTTTTCATTTACTCAAACGATGATTGACTCGAATTTGAGGAGTATGGATAATATGAAGGATAGTATGATGAATTAACGGTGAGGTATACACCAGTCCCTGCACAGCTTACGTGGGTCTAAGGCCCATTGTTAAGCTCGGAAGCGTTCCGCAGCCGGTAGCCGCCCTCAGCAGCCAGCGGTAGAGTGCCTGCATATCCGGATTCCAACGAGGCCCGACTGGGCCACTTTTGGCGCTTATGTGATCAGTCTTTATTTTCAGCAGCGAAAGGCATCTGATAACTATGATAAGAAAGATCACAAACAAACACTATCTTAGCCCTAAAGATAGACGACCACAATCCAGAGCGTAGCAAACAGATAAGCTTCTTGCTCTAAAAATAGGCAAGTAGATAGGTAGTTATTTTGTAGTGGTGTTTTTTTACGCAGTACCGTCAGGGAGACTAGGTCTCAGACTGCATAGGGCGCGTCGTCATCCGACCACACGCGCCGCGTCTGCCGACAAGATGGACGGTGGTTCGGAAGGCCAGCGGGCCAGCGCTGGATCACTAGGGGTCATTATTTATCAGAGTGTCCGCCGGCCTGCCAGCTGAGTTTTCCCAGCACCAGGTGCCGCCGAGTGGTGATGGAGCGCCGGTCACCACTGGTGCCGCGCGGGGAACGATCGGTGATCTGTCTGGAGGGTGGCCCTCTCCAGGTGGTTGGTTCGGCCACTGAGGAAGCGGCAGTGACAGATCAGCCGCAGTTTACCGCGCAGGGTGGGAAAGGTTGGGTCGTGGGTGTCGATCCGCCTGAGGCAGGAAACCCGGCCGCCGTTTCCTGCCGCCGGTTTAATGAGCGGAAGCAGGCGAGGTGACACCGATGGACTGGCACAGGTGTTCGCGCCGAAAATGGTGGCGTGTTCGCGCCGAAATGGTAGCGCGCCCGCCGCCAGCACCATCGGCCGTCAGGCGCACAAATGGTGCCAATCAAACCAAGTTATTGGCACTGGGCACGCCACCGACGCGGCCGCCCGTCATCAGAATAATTTTGATGAAAACGGCGAACTCCTTTTAACGACGAAGGCAAACACGCAACTTAGTCAACCGACAGTAAAAACGAACAGCTTCGAAGGATTAATTAACGTCGTGATGCATTGAATCGGTAAACGAGGTCCGAGGAAGTCAGTAAAAGTCGCGATCGAAGTGACATCTATCGAGTGACAGTTCAACGACAGCCCTAGGGTATTGCGGTGCAGCATCACGCAGGCGTCATGCATACAGTGCCATCTATCGAGTGGAACACGAACCAGCGGCACTGCATGGGCGGCAGGCCGGACCCTCTCACTGTTATTATGTCGCGTCCGGGTACACTGAGCCAGAAAAGCCGGCCAGCAAACCACACAAGTACGGTGAGCTCATCGGCTGAGTGCACCAGCCCTAATGCATAATCGGATCACAAACAAAAGAAGAAGTAAAACTCCAAGAAATCGCAAACTGTCTACAGAGTGACGTCAGGCATCCCAAGAATACATAGAACAGATCATTAGCAATCACGTAGCAAAGGGAGATACTACCTGCAAATCTAAGCAATAATGTCAAAATATGCTAACACAGTATAAAAATACCGACAGCCACACGAGAGCCTCAATATCGTACTTTAAAGCATCCTTAAGGTTGGAGGAAGCCACCAGCCGTTTCACGGGCACCCACGGCCACTAACCCCGCGCGTACTCGTGCCGACCACATCGGAGATAGACCCGGGCACCGGCCGGCGCGGCAGCGGCAGCGGCGCGGCCCTTTGATCAGGCTAATGGGTCGGATCACAGTGGCCGCCGGCATGCAGCCATTAGGAGACGGTACTGCCGCCCGGACAGCCGCCCCGTCACATGCACGGTCATTTGCACATCAACAGAGTGCGCGCGGGCAGCGCCGCAAGACGCTCTGTTCGTATCCGGGACGAAGGCGGACAATGCGACGTCTGGTATGGCCATGTGTGGACATTCACGCAACGTATTTACGAGCCAGTATTTCTGATAAATAAGGGATGACAATTGTACTATGTACTATAACTAGGAATCATTTCTAGGTCTAGTCGAAGTGTATGATACTCAAAGAAACCCTTACACAATCCAAATCTTTCTACCTTTATACTTAAATCTCTATCTTTATACCTTTAATCTTAAATCTCTACCTACCTTTATACTCTTTTTTTCTGCCTCTCCCCTTTTCCTCCCTACACCTCATACACACACTCGCCTCCTCTCTCTCTCTCTCTCTCTCTCTCTCTCTCTCTCTCTCTCTCTCTCTCTCTCTCTCTCTCTCTCTCTCTCTCTCTCTCTCTCTCTCTCTCTCTCTCTGTCTTTCCCTCTGTCTCTCTGCCTCTCTCCTCTCACTCTCTCCTCCCCTTTCGATGCAGACCATTTGCGTCAATGACCTTCGAAGGTCGTATCGAGCACGTACGGCCGAGCCGTGCGAGGGCCAGCCAGATCCAGTCTCGATTAAGTTCCAAAGTGCGGCGACCTTTGCACGCTGTCCAGTGCCGCCTGGAACGTGCTCTGTTCCGAAAGGGTACGGCGGCGTAGGCCGGCGGGCCATGCTGCGAATTGCCGCCGGAGCAATGTCATTCACCTCCATTGAGCAACTTAACGGAATACTCGCTGGAAATAGAGTGCAAAGGAAACGGCATCGACCTATGCGGACGTCTCATTCATCTTTATTGATATAGCCAGACAACCCGGCTTGCTTTCTGCTTTCTCAGAATTGGTTGGCGCGAAAAATCGAAGGCATCGTCGGGCAAGCAGAATGCACGAGCACTACAGAATAAACTTAGCTCGACAAACAACTACCACCAACAATCAGTCTGGAGCCCTCGGCACAACTCTGTATGGGAAACAGGCGCCAATCCACACCCCTGGTCGTGTGTGGCCCGCAGGTACTCCTGACGGACACCGCGACCTCCCCGTCAGAGCGGCGGCCGCCGGCCCGGCACGGCCCGTCGTGCGCCGCGCCGTCCACGATTACCGACGCGCCGACGACCATGATTGGTGGTTTCGGTGACGTATGATGCGGATGACGTCATACGATCACAGGGTCCCCAGTGGGTCGATCGGCCCGCGGCGTCACGGGGTGGTTAGTTCCGGGATGACCCCCTGAGGCTGCTTCCGACTTCCCACTCGTGCGATCGAGTGATTAGAAGGCTTTCACAAGATTCGCTGACACGCTGAAACTCAGCCATAGAGCACTGTGGAGTGAACGCAGGCAGTCTGGTGATTTTTAAGGAACAGTGCCAGATTAATCTAGTTTTGCATTTGCTTCTTATTTCAACCATTCGGCGAAAGAACGCCAAGCTATGGTTGAGTGTTTCACTAACTTTACGAAGTACTCGTAAGAATATCTGTACTTACTTCTCAAGACACTGAGCATTTTGTTCAACGACGCAAGCGAAACCATTCGTACATAACGCATATTGAATCAAATCCTATACTTATTCAGCAAACTTACGGCACGCTCTCAAACGTAAAGATCCAAGCCTATCAAGAAAACTCCCTCGAACGTCTGCAGGCCATATTCTCGCGCTGAGATGGAGCCGGATCTATTGGCGCTGAACGCGGAAGTTCTGGGGACGTTGCCGGCGTCACGGGATTGCCGGCCATCCGGACGGTCGTAAGGCGGAATTCCATCACGGGTCGCCGGCCACAGATCGGAGCGCGAGAGAGCTGGGCGACGGTTCAGGTTCAGAAGAGAGAGAGGAGAGGTGAGGTGAGCGGCAGAGAGACAGCACACCTGACAGCGTAGATAGGATATACATGACAACAGAGGCAGGGAGGGTAGATGACACAAGCCGGATATGACTAGACGTCACCGTGAACCAGTTACCAACGAAGCAAGATATGCGAGTGATTGATTGACATGATTTATCAGGATGGGATAGTCAGCGATACTTTTTCGGAGCATCCTTTTTTGCATGATAGTAATTGCAGGGAGTGCCAGCTGCGACACAAGTGGTTATGTACTGGATCTTTCTGCAGAAAATCGTTTAATGGAGCCACCAGTGATTTTAGCCACAGCCACGACGGTATCATAAAGAATCTCCCACCGACAAACAAGCACACAACTTGCTTACCAATCAAAACACGCGCCAATATCGAATCAGCTGCTTCCAAGGCGGCTCTTCATCATCCTTTCCGCATCTCTATACGGATGATAAACTACCCAGAACAACATCTAACTGCCTGTCTGTCGGGCATCTGATCGATGGAGCTGGGTGGCCGAGTGACCGCCGGTCGGTCGGGTGCCACTGGGCTCGGCGCCCGGTCAAATACCACCGACCCCACTGTGCGGATCTGCCGAGCGGGGTGCCCCTGGTTATATCGATACCGAGCGGCGGGGCCGGGGTCACCGCACAGCCGGCCAGCGATCTGTGGTCGGCAAGGCCGGCCATACTGTATCTCTATAGTCCGTGATAGCGCAAACGAGCGCCCGCTCCGGCTTGGCCGCTCCGCCGGATGGGGCCGCGTGAAAAACGACCACCGCCGGCCACATGTGGCGAGCTGGAGAGCCTTATAAAGATGAAGAAATGGGGGGCTTTATGGCGCAGACAAGAGAATTCAATACTAGGACGGCTAAATTCACATCCCGGCTCCACCACGCAGGCAGGCGGAGCCCAGTGAGGGGACAAAGTCAATCGATTGCCGTCAACCGCAGCTCAACCGTCATCCACTGACCGCGGCTCGGTCGAGTGCGCGCGGCGGCACACGCCTCAGCAGACAGCAATTATTAATCGAGAGCCGCCACCGACACAGCGCTGCCGACGAGCCCGTATTGGCCGCCGACAGAATCGACTGAGGAACAGGAGATCCAACTCCGCGGTCCGGATCCCTGGGGAGGACGGCCAGCGACGCTCCACCAGCCTCCCGGTGAGGAGCACAGCGACAGAGCGCTGGTGAGGGGTTCAGCCGGCCGGCCGACCGCCAGCCACACAGGGGCGGGCAAAAAGTAACAATCCAACGTGTATACAATTTGCAACAGTCGACAAGTACACACTCTCTTGAGACCCGAAACGGCTGCTTCAGTTTCCAAGTCAACACATGCCGAAATAGTTCTAAAATGCGATCTCTAATTACAAGTTACAACATTATCCTGTCCGAGCGCATGGGACACAAGTATTGCTCAAGTTTGAAAGTCCGATATAAGGTATCAGACTTTGGTCGCGCGTCTCTGCAACTTTTCAGAAGAGCCTCGCTTCCTAAAGAGACGGGACCTCGGGGCCTCATCCGCCCTGAACTCGTTACCTGAACAGGCAGCCTCTATTGTTGCAAGTTGTCGGCAAAATAATGGGCGCCGTTTACATTTTAAGCGAATGTAAAACGCAGTCAGCTTTCCTATTGTGCACTGGTCCTTACGGTGCACTCAACCAGACAGCGTTGATTGCGGCACTGGAACGAAATTCATGATGGGGTTTCCGGACGATGTTCAATCAAGCAGACTCGGAATTCACGACCCAATGTCAAGCTAACCTGGGCCACCTAGCTTACAACGCTCATTGACATGGGGAACGAACGACATGACCGACATGAACCACGCATGAACCGGAAGATTGAGCACTCAAGTCCAGGGATTCGTACATTCTAGAGGCATGGTTTTGTAGGTACCCTGCGAGAAACGGCCAAGTTTCTCCTTTAATTCGTATCAATTTACTTCCCGACCATACAAACGACCTTTATAGATGTGTACAGAACGGATACCTACTTCAAAATACAACATACTGCAAACAGCCTGACTCTAGATCAACAAAGAGCCGAACGGTACACAAAACCGCTCAGTATAGTGGTCCTACGGGACCGTGGGAACCAGCAGGGGCGGTGCTCGGCGTCTATCAGTATCCGGTGCGTCGCAGAGCGGTTAGCCACGATAAAACGTCACCGCTCCATTTCGCTAAAAGCCTGGCCAGACGTTATTCCATAAACCAAGATCGCTCTTATGTTATCGCAGCGATTAAAACCAAGGAAACGGCGAACAACTACCAGCTGACATATTACGTGCACGAAGATCTAGATAGAACCTTCTGCGCTAAATACTTCTTCGCTACAGTTCTTTTTTCATTGATAGCCCTGAGAGCAATATATCAAGAAAGGATATAATTTATACAGGAATGCCTGTCCACTGTAAAATTAGGCCCAGACTGATAGTGCTCGAGAATGTCGTATAAGACTCGGTGAAATTCCTGCCCCAAAGCTTGGGCGTCAACGAAATTCCGTCACGGATTCTGTGTGATGCTCATATAGTCTTAAGAATGAAACTCCAACAGTATGAATGAGAAATGAGACACCAACGTGAAAAACGAGTGTTAACCAAACATGCCAACTATCCATCACAAAGGAATTAATTATCTGCATTTGTCACATCTTTGTGAAGTGAGTTCAACGATGTTAGTCACCCCTCCCCAGCCGAGCGCCCTGGGTGTACTCCCCCCGCCCGACTCTACCCACTCCCCCTCCCTGACTCTACTCCCCCTCCCTGGCTGTACTCCCCTCCCTGGCTCTACTCCCCCTCCCCGGCTGTACTCCCCCTCCCTGGCTGTACCCCTCCCTGGCTGTTTGTATGTTTGTTTGTTTGTTTGTTTGTTTGTTTGTTTGTTTGTTTGTTTATTGGGGCTTTAGGGCGCGCCGACTGCAAAGGTCATTTTGCGCCCATCCCCAGCCGAGCGCCCTGCCTGAACTCACACCGCCCCGACTCTACTCCCTAGTCCCTACCCTGGCTGTACTCACCCTCCCTGATTCTACTCCCCCTCCCTGGCTGTACTCACGCCTCCCTGACTGTACCCTCCCTTCCCAGACTCTACTCCCCCTCCCCGACTCTACTCCCCTCCCTGGCTGTTCTCACTCTACTCCCTACCCCGACTCTACTCCCCCTCCCTGGCTGTACTCACGCCTCCCCAGCCGAGCGCCCTGGCCAGGTCGTTGCCGGTGCCCAGCGGCAGGACGGCGATGGCCGGCGGAGGACTGAAGCCCATCTGGTCGAGCACAGAGAGCACCCACCCGACGGTGCCGTCGCCACCGCAGGCCAGCACGCGCAGATTCGGCACCTTGCGGTACATCTCCAGCCTGCCGGAGGAAGACCAAGTGAGGTGAGAAAGTGGGATGAGAATGTAAGGCAAGGTCAGAAGGTGATGTTACGGATCCTTGGTGTGCGTGTGCCCCTAGCGTTATTGAATAGAGCGACGTTGCAGACCGTAAAGCATTTATACTCATTCTACATTATCATTATGTAACTGAATTTGTCCTCCCTGACTGCGTGAGGGGTTATCCTGTGCAAATAGCTCCTGACCGACTGCTGGAGTCGTGGGTCCCTCCCCAGTGTTATCGGACAAAAGGTCAACCACTTGGCCCCACAGAGGTGACCCCTGCGTCCCTCCCGCGCCTTCCGGCCTCCCCCTCGTAAACTGGCAGTGGTTTTACACGCCGCGACGCCCGGCGGCGGTGTCACGACGTGACGTAACGGCTCTATAACTGCTGACGGCCGAGTGTTGGCCGCCCGACCGGTGGGGGCGCGCAGCGGAATGGGTGGGGAGCCCCGTCCGCGGAAGTACAGCTGGCACTCCCCGGCGGCCATCACAGCGACAATGCTTTGATGTGTGCATTTGTTCTGGTGACGTCACCCGGCACCCAACGAATAGCGTCATTGGCTCCATCTTAGTCAGGCGGGGCGCCGCGTCGATATGGTTTAGACTTTAGGCATACCTGACGAACAGCGAATTTAACTGACAACATGATTCATGCATGTTGAATCGCCGCATCGGTACGGTTCAGGCGTACCGGGCGCATAGATGAGCCCACATGGTTCAGCCATGTGTGACTTGGCGCTGCGTCGATACGGTTCAGACGTATCTGACGAACAGCGACTTTTACTCTGTCAACATGAATCAGGCATGTTGCATTGCCGCACCGATACGGTGCAGGCGTACCCGGCGCATAAATGAGCCCACATGGTTCAGGCGTGTGTGGCTTAGCGCTGCGTCGATATGGTTCAGGCATATCTGACGAACAGCGAGTTTTACTGTGTCAACATGATTCATGCATGTTGAATTGCCGCACCGATACGGTGCAGGCGTACCCGGCGCATAGATGAGCCCACATGGTTCAGGCATGTGTGGCTTGGCACTGCGTCGATATGGTTCAGGCATATCTGACGGACAGCGAGTTTTACTGTGTCAACATGATTCATGCATGTTGCATTGCCGCACCGATACGGTGCAGGCGTACCCGGCGCATTAATGAGCCCACATGGTTCAGGCATGTGTGGCATGGCGCTGCATCGATATGGTTCAGTCATATGTGACGAACAGCGAGTTTTACAGTGTCAACATGATTCATGCATGTTGAATTGCCAGGCGTACCCGGCGCATAAATGAGCCCACATGGTTCAGGCATGTGTGGCTTGGCGCTGCGTCGATATGGTTCAGGCATATCTGACGAACAGCGAGTTTTACTGTGTCAACATGATTCATGCATGTTGCATTGCCGCACCGATACGGTGCAGTCGTACCCGACGCATAAATGAGCCCACATGGTTCAGGCATGTGTGACTTGGCGCTGCGTCGATATGGTTCAGGCATATCTGACGAACAGCGACTTTTACTCTGTCAACATGAATCAGGCATGTTGCATTGCCGCACCGATACGGTGCAGGCGTACCCGGCGCATAAATGAGCCCACATGGTTCAGGCATGTGTGGCTTGGCGCTGCGTCGATATGGTTCAGGCATAACTGACGAACAGCGAGTTTTACTGTGGCAACATGATTCATGCATGTTGCATTGCCGCACCGATACGGTGCAGTCGTACCCGACGCATAAATGAGCCCACATGGTTCAGGCACGTGTGACCTGGCGCTGCGTCGATATGGTTCAGGCATATCTGACGAACAGCAACTTTTACTCTGTCAACATGAATCAGGTAAGTTGCATTGCCGCACCGATACGGTGCAGGCGTACCCGGCGCATAAATGAGCCCACATGGTTCGGGCATGTGAGGCTTGGCGCTGCGTCGATATGGTTCAGGCATATCTGACGAACAGCGAGTTTTACTGTGTCAACATGATTCATGCATGTTGAATTGCCGCACCGATACGGTGCAGTCGTACCCGGCGCATAAATGAGCCCACATGGGTCAGGCATGTGTGGCTTGAAGCTGCGTCGATATGGTTCAGGCATATCTGACGGACAGCGAGTTTTACTCTGTCAACATGAATCAGGCATGTTGCATTGCCGCACCGATACGGTGCAAGCGTACCCGGCGCATAAATGAGCCCACATAGTTCAGGCATGTGTGGCTTGGCGCGGCGTCGATATGGTTCAGGCATATCTGACGTACAGCGAGTTTTACTGCAATATGGGTCAGGCAAACCGGTCGCCAAATGAGCCCGTGTACCTGACGAACAGTGAATTTAACTGGGTCTACATGGTTCATGCATGTTGATTGTTGCTGCTCTGCACCGGTATGGGTCAGGCATACCATGCAGGCAGCAGGCTCCTTATATGACTAGTATCGCTAGCACGCTAGCCTGACTTACCGGCCATGTCCCTCTCCCTTTGTCCCCCTCTGCTGAGCACCAGGTACTCTGTCGCTCCACAAACCTGTCTCCCCGGCCTTGTCTACTTTTCCTGCTCGCTCGTTTTACAGCGCTTAGCTCGACGCTCGATTCCCACTCTCTCGCTTTGTCCGTCACCTCTGCGACCGCACGATCGTTTTCCACAGCCTGTCGCTTCGTTTCCACCCTTCCGCACTGTCCGCCGCCTCTGAGCGCGCGCCTTGGACTGCCCGACCTGTTTTGCGGCCTGTGTACTGTGCGTGTCTTATCTCGCCTCGGCCGAGCCCGGTCCCCTCCCCCTGGACCCGGGTCGTCAACCGCGCCACGACTCGGGTCTCCTCCCACCCCTCTGCCCCTCCCTCCCTCCTCGTGCTGGCCATCCTCCGCTCCCTCTATTCGAGCCCCAAATCAAGCTATCTACATTATCATTATGTAACTGAATGCTGGATGTTTGAAGATGTATGACAGCACGTCTGCTCAAACAGTTTCATTCAGTTGCACACAATGCATCCAGGCGTTGTATCGCTACCTCGGCACACACTGATGACCTCTGATAACCCCCTGTCGGTGGGTAGCCGGTCCCCGCGATCCCTCACACCGGTGGTGGACCAAACCGCCACCATTGACCGGTCGGCGGACCAGCAGCCGTCGTCAGAGTGCACACGGTCGGCGACGCAGCGCTATCTGTCATAAGGACGGCTCCTTGTGTCCCGCCCCGACCCCGACCCCGACCGGACCCCGACCGGGCCGGACCCGGACCCAGCCGGGCCGGACCCGGACCCGGCCGGGCCTTCCGGGTCGATGGGGAGTAATCCATAATTCAGCCACAGCGGTTTGGACACGAGCGGGCCCGCTGCACATTGCGGCCCGCCGCCCGCCCGGACGGCTGGCCGCCAGGCAGCCCGCAATAATGACCGGGCGATGGTGTAAGAAAGACCTCAAAGTGTGCGAATTAGTGAATGTACGGAAGCAGACGTTTCAAATTTCGCACACAGAACTCAGGCACTCCATTCGAAAGTTATATGCACTTTAAAAACGAATCGTCATTGTAAGCAGCTCTTCATAACAACTGTCGTCCCAACAGACATCACAGGTCCTGTGAGGAAGTTGGGAGGTTGGAGTGACAGCCAGGTTTTTCCGAGCCCAAAAAGCCTCGTTCTTGTCACTTGAAAAGAGAAGGATAATCCAATGCATCCTACAGTTTTTTTTTGTCGACCTATCTCGGTCCGTCTCTTCTGTCGTTTTCCTCTCTTTCTCTCTCCCTCTCTCTCTCTCTCTCTCACTCTCTCTCTCACTCTCTCGCTCACTATCTCTCCCTCCCTCCCTCTCATATGCTCCATCTAAGCAGAACTGTGGGCCAGCCGAGAACCACCCGGCGGCTCGCCGGAAATGAGCAAACGACGAGACGGATACGGAGGGACAGCGGGGGTCCGATGACGGGACGATGACGACCGGATGACGTGCGCCAGGGGGGGGGGGGGGTCGATACGGAACTGACGCCGCCTGCCGATAGACCATGACGGAGGCTGGCTGGAGGTCGGAGCCGAAATATATTGTGGTGTGTGGATGAAATCACTTGCCAGCATTGGAGCTCGCAAAGGAAAGTAAAAAAGTGACCTTCACAAACATCTGTCGTACCATTTGCCTTTTTAATGAGCAAATAATACTCTGCAAAGTGCAAAATAATGATGATGATCTGAACTTATTTATATTAATAAGTCAATCGAAGAAGAGAAAGCCATAATATGGAGCAATGTGATCGAGTATCATGTTCGGATACATCTGAACGAATGTTTAATGCAACGTAAAAGCAGCCGTTGTTAGCGTTCGGAGTTTAGAGGATCACTAACATAATAGATCGGATCATATTGTCAGGAAAAACTCCGAGATCATATTGTCAATAAGATCTCTGTAAATCACACTAATGGTCATGCTGATCTCACTGCACAGCCAATAATGAGAGGGCAATCAATACACATCGTGTGAGGTGGGGACGGGGAGAAGTGAGCGAATCTTTTTTGCATCTTACAAAACGAGGCCGTTGAGAACAAATGTGCTATTAGTGACATGAGAAACGCGGGACCATAGAATAGCAGTTCCCTAAAGCCTCTTCTCATAAGGACTCATTGCCTACAGCGTGATAAGGAGTCTTCAACACACAACACATTTTCAGTAGCTGGTCGCTACCACTGTTAACCATTTTCAAAAAGCCTTCCAAATGCGTCACCTGGCATGTTTTTACTTCAGTTGGAGGTACCAATTCGGTCTGTGTTTGTGATCCGTAATAGCCTCCATTCAGTATCGCACTCGCTCCTTGTCCAATTTCACAGTCTGGCCCAGGGCTCGCCGCCCGCAGCGCAGTATCGCCTGGCCTGCTGTTTTCGCCAGTTTGCAATCAAGTGGCCGCACAGCCTGCAATAACCACAGACCGACCCGCACTGTATGAAGTTTTACTGTCCAAAACATGTGCGGATCCAAAGACACAGCGCCTTCGTTGCTTAGTGAGTAACTCTAGTAAAGACGACCACCACCGAAAACACCATCACTGGAAGATGTTAGATTGTATCATGCTTAATTAAGTGGCCTTAGTCATTAATGGACATGTAACTATGACACTTTTTTGTGGATTCCCGCATAATCTTCATGTAAGAAAGCCCCAAAATGCAGCTTCGATGCTGATAATCAGATGCATTTGTTCCGTCACCAGCATCATCATCCAGATCCATGTAACTCCCATACAATCCTTCCATTATAGGTCCATTCATACTGACAATAAACTTCAGAGTCATTGCTACACCGCCGTGGTTATCCTGCACCCATACTGAGCCCGTCACCGACATCCCTCTCATGGAGTCAGAGGGCGAGAGAGAGAGAGAGAGAGAGAGAGAGAGAGAGAGAGAGAGAGAGAGAGAGAGAGAGAGAGAGAGAGAGAGAGAGAGAGAGAAGAGAGAGGAGGGAGGGAAATAGAGAGGGGAGAGTCAAGAGAGGAAAGAAGAGGAGAGATAGCATAGAGAGGGAGGAAGAGAGAGGGATAGAGGATAGAGGACAGAGGACAGAGGACAGAGGACAGAGGACAGAGGATAGAGGATAGAGGAGAGAGAGGGAGAGAGGAGAGAGGAGAGAGGAGAGAGGAGAGAGAGAGAGAGAGAGAGAGAGAGAGAGGAGAGAGAGAGAGAGAGAGAGAGAGAGAGAGAGAGAGAGAGAGAGAGAGAGAGAGAGAGAGAGAGAGAGAGAGAGAGAGAAGAGATCGCCCTCGCGGCATCTCGGTGCTCCGGGCCCGGCTATTCTCGGTGTAGCTCGGCTCTCCGACGGCTATTCTCGGTGTAGCTCAGCTCTCCGACTCACTGTACCGCCCGGCCGGCCAGCCCGCGGTAATGGCTCAGCCGTCCCGGACCGCGGGTCCGGTGTCGGCGGGCCCCGGATAGTGGATCCGGTGTCCAATCAACGGTCACCCCTCCCCCCAGGGCAGAGCAGAAGGAGGAGATCCGCGACTCACCCGCCGACCGACCCAAAACAAATAAAACTGATTACATAAGCACAATACGCTGCATGTAATACCGTAAAGGGGCATTGCATGCCTACTTTCTGTTGAATGAACGGATAAAATGTAGCATAACAGAAACTTTGAAAAGAGGAAATACTTAAATCATGCATTATTGTTTCTCCGCACAACAAAAATAGCATGGATGACTACAAATATAGCTCCATGGCCGTGAGACCCATCCGATCAATAAACACATCACCTGTCATCCATACGGCGCGCGCGCGTTGCTCACCCTTCTCGGGGTCCTCCCTGTGTGAGATCGTATAGCTCCATGGCGTGCGAACTATCCGATCAATAAACACATCACATGCCATCCATACGGCGCGCGCGCGTTGCTCACCCTTCTCGGGGTCCTCCCTGTGTGAGATCGAACACCTGTCGCGGGTTCAGCAGCCACTGGAACTTCTGCATCAGCTTGGCGCCCTGGTTGCCGCCGCTCTTCGGGTTCAGGAACACGATGATGGGCTTCACGTTGGCCGTGGGGATCGGCTTGATGGCGAAGGCGCGCGTCTGATCTTTGTCGATCTGTGAAATGGAGGGAAAGTATAGCGTCAGGCAGCAGTCGGGTTCGGTGAGCGTCGGCGGCGTGCACTCGAGAGCAGCCAGCTATTTTCGGCGGTGTACCCGCGGGGACAACGTTGCAAGGCGACTACGATACTAGCGGGACGGGGAGAGCTATTAATAGCTCCGACATTTACACCCGTGTGAGCCACCGGGTGAGTACGCGAATAGACATGTGATTATACTCCTCCAATTCTGAGTAAGTAGATTAAAATAGCGTCATTTGTGTGCGTACTCCAGTTAGTGACGTGGAGAGCAATGCAAGAAATAGAACGAACATGGATAACAGAATTCAAATAATGATTCTATTCCTAGACTGCCAAAGTTCTCAAACGACTATTTTAGTCAAATCACTCATGCCACTTTCAAATAAGTTATATGTTGTATGAATACGCTGAGAGAATGCATACGAAAGGAGAAACTGAAAACGTGAGCAATAATTTCTTCGTTTGTTAGGAGAATTTGACTTTAGAAACAAAACACAAGTAGCCTAGCACACATTTAACAATTGTTTTCAGCTGAAACAAGGTTTGTTGAACGACACACTGTGCATCAAATACTAATGAACCTGCCCATTCAGAAGAGACGTCTCACCCAGTCTCGACTTTTTCGCCGGCTGGACGACCGTTTCTTGGGCGATTTCCGCAGGCTGGACTTGAAGCTGCCCCTGCGCGGCAGCTTCACGATCCACGACGGCGGCACGATGATGTCTTTGTGAATTCCTGAGGATAGAGCAAACACGCGAATCACTGCAAAATTCACAAGGCGTCGCCACGGCGATATACTGTTCTGGGCTTCAAATTCTTTCGGTTAATTACATAACAATACACAATACACACGAGTAACACCCGTGAAGATGCCACTTCTCTTCGTATCCAAGTCTAGACTGATGTCCTCATGAATTGCGCAATGTAGGCATCATAAGACAATGGTAAACTTTTTTATGGGTAGACAATGGTAATAGTCGCTAGCATTAGTGAGTCCATAGTTAGGCTAGCAAGGCCATTTACTCTACCACTGAAGTCATTTGTTCATATATCAGTAAACCTAAGGCACTATATAAAAGACACACGGGAATACACCGTCGCACCACTCGCTAATGGACCCCATTGAGTCAGTGCACCATGCGCCAATAAACCCGAACCACATTGTCACTTTGAGGAGGACTGGCCCATTGACAGCGCCTTCTGGAAACGGCCCTGCCCACTCCCCAGTCGCAGCTCAAACCGATTCATTCGTCCATCGGCGGCTCTCAAAGATCGCTGAGCCGTTTATTTGGCGATCGAGCAGCCCAGATGTTCCCAACGGCCCCGGATCTAACCGTCATGTGAGATGACCAAAAAATATCCAGCCGTATGGCCGCAGCATATGTGACGTTCCATGATTACGAGCGCAGAAGTGGCGCTGGATCTATGGATTGCTGGTTCGGTGGATCTCTGAATCTCTGGAAATCTAAATCGATGGATCTCTTTTCGATGGACTGCTGGTCGCACAATCTGTCGAGTGACCAGTGGCCGTCACATAGCGTTCTGTCACGCTCTGAGAAGACCACTCGTCGGTCGCCGAGAAAAAACCGAGCCCGTTTCAATAATGACGCTCGGGTCCTCTGGAGATTTCGAGAGAACGGCTACTCGGTCTTCAGCGAATCGCCGGGAGAATTTATTTAACCAGAGCGCTACTGAAAACTGTCACGGCTGGGTTTTAGCTTCCACGGCCTCTCCTGACTGAATCAAATACCACAGAAGATAGAGCTATGGTCAAAATAAAGCTGTCGCACTTACTCCTTACGAAAGTCGTTCCTAAACTTAGATAGCTTAATAGAAGCTATTGTGAAGCAATCTAGGAAATATGTGTTGTTGTTCTTATCAGGACGTGCAATAAAACATTCAGAACAAATACTTCGCATGTGCTATGTACCACATGCAACCAATTTCAAAATAAGACCTTGAAAGCCTGCGAAGTTTCGTCGGTAAGAAATGCCTACTGTCGCGCCCTAATCCACTGCGCTGTGTGCCGCGTGTGTCCCGGCCGCCTCCTGTCGTGACCAGGCGCCATTACCCAGCTCGGCTCGTGCCTGCACGGTGACGGACAGGAGGCAGGCGCCGCGGCCGTGCCGCCGCCACGCGACACACCACCGACACGGAGGTGTAGTGCGCCACTTCGGCTTCGTGACTCGGACCATCAGCATAGCCCCTTAGGAAAATTCGCCTACGGGTGCAGTATACGGTGAGAGTTTGTCGTGTGTATTCATATCGAAGCATATTAAGGCAAATTAAAATATGCCTAACGATGGTTTGAAAGTGAAGATATGATCCGAACAGAGGATATTTCTTAAGATATTGAAGCCCAAAGCCAAACTACGATCATTGCGGCTTTCCAAATTTATTTCCGAAAAGGAAGATACGGAAGGAAGAAAGCCGATCATAACCGAACTTCGCTCTTATAATACCGAAGCATTTCGCCACCCGAGTCCTCTGCGGGTCAGTCCAGCACCGTCTGCTCCCCGCTGACCTCACTGTGGGCCGCGCTGATGTCGGACGGCACCTCCGACTCACGCAGACCAAAGGAGAGGAGGATCCCGGCCAGAAGTTAGCACGGTTATTGCCGAGGGCGAGGCACGGTTTATGGCGGACCGGGGAGCTCGGCCCGAGTCTGCCGGCTCAAATGACCATCCGTCTGTCGCGGGAGAGGCGGTGGTGGATTGAGGACCGACCCTGCGGCGGCCAGAAGTCCGGGTTGCGACTTGCGACATTGACCAATTGATTGATGAGATCAGCTGAGGGGTTACCGAGACCAAGTGCAAAGCTATCGAGACAAAAAAAAAAGAAGAAGAAGAAAACGACCATCACGACCGGCTGTACCATTGCAAAAACAACCGACCGAATATCCAGATCAGTTGCATGGTTTCCGAAACCATCTGAACTGTTACTAAAGCCAGCTGCACGTTTATCGAGACCAGCTGCACGTTTATCGAGCCCAGCTGCACGTTTACAGGGACCAGCTGCACGTTTACAGGGACCAGCTGGTTTTACGGACTCCACGGCAGTAGCCTGTCCACCGCGCAGGGTTGTAATTGCCCCGGCTAACGTATTTTAGTACGGCAATTACATCACTTTAATTACATGCACGAAAACGGTAACGACGTGTTCCAGATTTAATCAGGCCAAAGTGCGGCGGCGCCAGACGCGTGTTGGGTCTGATCGCATAATTTGTGGCTCATTGAATGGAGCTGCGGTCACTATACGGCCGTGCCGCGGTATAAGGTCAGCGGCGTCCGAATCGAACTAGTTCCGAGCGGGCAAACACATGTCCGTTTACTATAATGTACCGCCAAACACAGCCATAATTGCCGCTATTTCTGAAACTACGTGATATTGAAAATATCGACTAAGCTAATAGCTTACTATATCACCCTACTGCACACAGTCAAATAATTAGCTATAACCGCATTTCTGTTTGTGATACCGGGTCGGTACACGTTACGAGAACGGCTGTAATTGTACCGCGCTGGTCCAAATTAGCCCACCTGGACTACACTCGGGTGTGTGTCCCCTCGGCGGAGTGGCAGCAGCATAATTATCCCGTGGAGGTGGATAAGTATCCCGGGGGACTGCACTACACGTCCCTAGGACTCCAATTCCACTACACCACTCAGAAACACGGCGGGCACAACAGCGAACAGAGTGAAAACATAGTCCGAGAGTGCTACTGTTGCGAGGAGCGGCTATTTTAGTTCAGAGTCGGCCCAGAGTAATATCAAATGCACTTATAAGAAAAAAATCCGGGGTGATACACTCAAGTCATAGGTAGATTAAAACAGATGTGCATCACCTGCTAATATATGCGCTGCGTACTGCAGACAACGCGATCACCATGACCGATGTAATTAGCATACGTATGCTCGAAGCATCTGCAAAAATTGTATTTGGCTTACCAACAACGCAGTAAGATATCCTTAAAATTTGTTTTTCATCAATCTCATCACAGACCTTACGATACATAATTAATTCACTTAAAAACAGTTGACTATTTTGTCCTTTTTCTGCTTATCCTACATTATACGCATCCTCACGCACCAGACAGCAGCAGATTCAAACAAACTCTCCCTAACAGCGCAGTTGACTTCAGTTCAGCAGCCCCGGCCGCACGGTTGGGACGCCTCTCTCGTACGAGTGTTTGTCGCTGGCTAACAAGGCCCACCGCGCTCAACTAATTACAAACAGCGGCACGGCTACCTAATTCAATAACGCTCCGACTTCACTGCTATGCAGATCGTGCGTTGTTTATGTCTGTAACGTTGGGTCAGCGAGCCTCTTACCAGCACTGGACGGAAAACTGTGGTGCTCGGATAGTTCCAACCTTTCTAGCGATCGAGCTGAGTGCTTGGGTACTCTGTGTTATTTATAGTCATACTTTATTGTCTGTACTTGTCTAAATCTACATGATGTTTTCACAATGGGTCGGACGGATCTCATACCCTACGTTTGCACTGCATCTGCTACTATACCGCTTTACTCTCAATAGGTACATACGTGGTGGACTGTAACCCATTCCGAAACGCTACCCTCCAGGCCCAGTTGCCCCTGTTCCTGTACTCACCCAGGCTACATTGCTCCCCTGTCACACAGCTCTGCCCCCCCCCAAATGACTATTGCCCAGTTCCCCACGGCCCCGTAGGTACTCACCTAGGCTACACTGCTCCTCTATCCTCTGCATGCTGAAGCACGGCTCCTTGTTGTGATAGGTGGTTCGACACCACGAACAACTTATTGCCACAATGTCTTTGGTAGAAAACGACAGTTTCGACATAAAACTCTGCAACAAGACCAAGACGAAAGCGAGTCAGCACACATACACGCACATAATTAAAAGTGACAATGTGAAACAACACAGGCATTGCCCAGGCTATCAATGCCTGGGGCCAATACACTGGAAGCATTTCGCTCAGAATGGGCGTTATGTGTACTCAGTTCGGGCCCTACTTTTGGGTGAATTGGGCGTACTGCAGCTCAATAAAACTATTTTCGAGTTGGTGAGTAGGATACTGCGAGCGCGGCCCGAGCAGCGATGCCATTTCGTGCAGATCTATGGCCACTGGAAATGGGAGGGAAAGTGCAGGATATGGTGGCAAGGCCGAGTCATTTTAGGGAAAACAGCGAAACGCACTACAGCCATCAAGGCAGGACCAGAGAGAAAAAGAGGTAATTAATCATAAGCAATATGCGTTACATTTCCACATTTGAATAAGCTCAATGGACAGAAAGAAAGTTGGAAATGCAGTTCGGAAGTGGACAGAAAAGGTCAATATCTCCAAAGGACTGCTAAATGCATTACTCGAGTATTCGTAAAGAAGGAATAAAGGAAAATATGGGCTGTCTGGCAGGCAGCTTTGCAATGTCTTAAAGAAGTTGAAATCGTCGATACGCGTGATGCAACAACATGCGCCCTTGTCTTAGAGTCAGGTCACTTTCATCAGACCTCAGGACACAGACCTGGTAATGTTACAGGACGTTTACTTTGACTGAGTCTATGGAACTGCATCTTTTCTTTCAGCCAATATCAGACGGTTTAGGCCAGCTCAGAGGTATAAATAACGCCCACATGGAACATGAGGAGTTATTGGAACATTATTCATAGGAACAAACCAAAGTTTCATTCAAGTTCTTCTCTTTATCAAAGCTCATGATATTAACAATGAAATAAAAACAAACTTCAGTCTGATGACAGAACAAACACGACACAAACGTAAATACATCAAGGAGAGTCGAAGGATCGTCACAAAATAAGGTTAACAGCGTCCTTTGTGGCTAGTCTCGATCTGGCGTGCCGCTTTCAGTTCTCACCTTTGCACAATGTTTGCATTTTCCCTTCTGATTCCGGCGGTGAACCCAGTGATGGGCAGTGGCTGTGTTGTCCCGGTACTGCCTGATCCCGACATCCCTGGAACACACAGTACCTACTCGTCAGAGCTCTATCGAGTGAAGGGGCAGCGGGCTCTGCCGGTGGGCATAGGAAATCTGCCTGTCCTCTAAAAAAGGAAATCTGCCTTTTTTACAACGTTGTCTTCTACCAAGACAGTTGTCAATGTAGACAGGAAGGACGACACCTCGTTGATTCACTGCGGATTGATGTCAAATGTTCTAAAATTTGCATACGTCGGAGGCATTCAGATGATTCAGTCGCTTCTTGTTAGCACGATTTACTGAGCAATTGACAAGTCACTCAGGTCGCTTGTCAAGGAAGAAGAACTGAAAGAGCCGAGCAAATATCAATAGCAGCGCAGCGCCATCTGAAAGCTGAGCTTGTGGAGCGCCATCTGTTATCAGCGAGCAGCGGACGGGTAGCTGCAGGTGATTTCGATGCAACCAGGATCCAGGCATAGAAAGAAAACAATAATTGTAATAATAAATAAAGAATACGTTTTTGTACCTCAAGTATGAATTATGCAAGCAGCTTCCATTTGTTAACCCTCGCCGGCACAGGCCATTTCGAGTCCTTCGACGGCACAAGGGGGGGGGGGTTGGTACGAACCCCTCGCGCGGTTCCGCGGTTCTCTTCGAATGTTTACCTTGTAAATTAGGTTCCATTTCTGAGGCTCGTGACTGGGAGGGTGGTGTTTACTCTGTATAGTTCTCGGAATGTTTACGCCCCCGACATTCCAGACATGCACGCTGAACATCGCACGTGACATGACGAAAAGTGATCATGGGATACGAAACTTTCAAATGTTCTCCTCCTTCAAATAAATAAGTTGGGTAAGATTGACATGCCAATCACATTGAGCAATGATCTCTTTTCGCGTTTTCAAGCTAGTTCTCTTTGACGCTGTTAATTTATCTATAAATAAATATCCTTGAACTGTGACTGTAGAAAAGAACATTACGATGACAAATAGGAACCGAATACCACATCAAGATGCATATCATAGTGAATTTTCATCTTCTACAGTGGCACCGTGCTTCAGTTTCGGCGTCGCTGGCCGGCACCTAAGCAACAAGTGAAGCAAACACGATCAGAAAGTGGTTGTACGCCGCACTTCAATCGGGCCAAGTGTTCAGGTGATTGCAAGCCGCCACAAACAACACCTGTCGGGGCCAGCGAAAAGTTACAGCGGCGGAGTTCTGCGCGGAAAGTATGGCGTCCGCGGCACACCGAGCACCACCTGTAAACTTCCACCGACGCACGCCACACGCAGGGCGGAAGTTAGTGGGACCCGGCAGCGGCGGCGGCTGTCACCGGCTGGGCGGGATGGCGGACCGGCGGACCGGCTCGGACCGACGGACCGCCGGCGGACCGGTCCCGCGGCTCGTGCCGTCCTCCCCGGCCGGGGAGTGAGGGACCGGAGCAAAAAACGACACAGCGAACACAACAGAGACAGCACCCGGCGAAAATAACGAGAAGTGATGGAAAATGATGGCCAACAAAGCGACAATGCACTGCCGAGGGACCTAATAGAAATAGTAAAAGAAAAAGAACAAAGACGGTGACCAGACTTTTCGGCCATTAGGAGCCAGCTACAAGCGCTATCGCGATGAACTTCTACAATAAGCATCAAAAGCAGGCTCAGTAGTCAGTAAGGCTAGACATTTTAGTTATCTTCATGACAACATGATATAATTTACGACTGAACAATCCGGCATTTTAAAAAGAAACAAAAGAAAAAGGAGCCACGAATGGTGGATCAACTTTGCATGCCTGCTTTGCTAAGACGTGGTGCATTTTTCATTCATAATAACTGGGGGGTATTAGCCCATATCCAGATGAAATTTAACATCATGCAATTATACTTAACACCAACGACCTATCTCAACAAACGAATGAGCAGTTGCAATGGTTTAAAACTTTTAGCGTGACGTCCTACTACAAGATCCGTGTGGCTTTTCTTTGCCATTCGTATGCGCATAATTGGTGGCATTGTCCCATTAGGCTGGAATCGGAGACGCATTTGGCGGCACATTTGCCAGTGGAGGACCTGCATAATACATTGGTCCAGTGACGTCAGAGAATGGTCCGATGACGTCACAGACACACTCACCGAAAGGTGGGCTTGCAGGCGAACTTGACCTTGTCGATCAGGTTGGCGATGCAGCCCGTGTGGCAGATGATCTTACACGCAGTGCACTTCATCCGCGAGCCCGTTTTCTGCAGAAAAGGCACGATTTCAGTCAGTTCGGGGACACTCAATAAATAGGCACTGATATCGGCCAACAGTTCATTGTTCCACGGTCAACGATTGCCGGGCTGGGTCAAGGCATAGCGTGTAATAATGTTAACCCGCGCCGTGCTGGTGGCCTGAACTTTCCGCCGAGTGCTGGGGGGGGGGGCGTTTTCACGCCCCCCCGTCTAACTCGGCTCCTGGGCCACGTAGCGACACGCGGTAAGCGGCAATCGAAAGAGCGTCAAAAATAAAGACGAAAACACTTCGGTCATTTTTTGGGTCAGGTCAAAGGTCAGGTCACCAGAGGTCACCAAAGGTAAAATGTTGACTATTTCAACATTTTGGAAACTGCCAACGGCTATCTCGGGAACCGATAGAGCTACAGCGCCGCGGAAAAGCGCATTCGATAGCCCTTTTACAGACCTTTCTGAGTAATGTTCTCAGATTTGACCTCAGGTCAACGGTTTAGCCTCCAGAGGGCAAAAACTCCAAAAATAGCCGTTTTTACGAAAAACGTTTTTTCGTCAATAACTTTTGACTCATAAGCGCCATGACATTACTTTTGCCAGCATCGTGTTCCTCTCGTCGAGACGCGTCGAATGAACTATTCGTTGACCTTGAAAGGTCATTTGGAAAATTTGACCTCAGGTCAAGGTCATGACCTGACCGAAAAGGGTCATGTTGCATATCAGTCGATCCGTATCGTCGAGCTGAACACATCTGATGTGTTTTCACCGCTCTAGCACGTCTCTATCAAAAGTTATAGCCAAAAAACTGCTGGCGACCGTTCATGACCTGAGATGACCTCAGGGGCACACAGAGGGGTCACAGGTGCATTTTTCCTATTCAGTGTGTCATGTTTACCTATGAACCGATGTTTGAGAGCGTTTTGAACGATATTCGTCCAAAAGAGGCGCATTTCAATTTTCTCCCATTGACTTATAATGGAGAGGTCGCAAAATTGACCTGACCTTAGGTCACAGATATCAAAAATCCGAGATATACATTTTATACATACTGTTACTCATATTAATCGCTGAAAGTTTCAAAGTGATCGTTCAGTCGGTGTAGCTATAGCGAGCCTGTGAACTTTTTCTGAGGTAAGGTCACTTGACGTGACCTGGTGACCTGACCTTGAACGGCCTAGGTCTGAAATTTTCACAACATGTGCGGAAATGATGTAGAAACACGTGTACCAAAAACGGCGGCGCTGCGCGCCGCCGTTTTTGAGATATTCGCGAAAAACCTGAGGGGGGGGGGGCGTAAAAACGCCCCCCCCCAGCACGGCGCGGGTTAAGCAGATGTATGTAGACAAAGACACGATGGTCGCAATGGGCAGAGGTATCAGTCTTTTCCCGAACGAATATCAATGGCGTCAATGTAAAAGGACGTTTTTCAGCCCGAGGCTTCAATTCACAGTTACCCACAGGCCACAAATCTCCACTATTCAATATTCGTTACTGATCCGTCATCCATCATCGATCATCATTTACATGTCATCGGTCATCTGATTCCTCCCTCAGCAGTGGCCCCTCAGCTGTCATCTCGAGTCCTGACTACCCGCCCAGCAAATCACGGCCAGCCCCGGGGCAGCCACGCTGGCTACCGAGCCCCGCGAATAAACTAACCTCTCTCTGCGCCCCGGGGGACAGCAACGGAAACTTATCCGCGACTCCGGGCAGTCATTAGCGGGGGGCGCAGTAACAGGGGAGGGGCGGGGATGACACGGGGGCGGGGACAGGGCAGGACAGGGCGGGGACGGGCCGGGGATGATGAGATGGGGAGGACGCTGACCGGCAGGGTCGCGAGCCAGAAGGATGATGAATGATGGATAGACGATGCGTCGAAGAAGGACAATGAGGGAGGGGGTTAGTTGTGTGTGCCGTCGGACGGAAGCCCCAAAGTAACCTTGGGACACCAAGGTGGACGGCGACGGCCGTGGAGGCTCGGAGGCTTCGGTGGAAGCGGGAGTGGCATGCAGGACAGCTGAAGGCAAAGCGGCACTGGATCTAACTAAATACTAATTTTACTGGACATACTGGACATACTAACTACACACTGGATCTATGCTTTTCTTTCATTTTGGCGGGCACATCCGCTGCCAAGTCCAGCTACCCTGAACTTTGAGGATCAAAATTATTTCGAAAACCAGCGAGACAGTGACAAGATGCCGTGGACGCGAGACGAGGGGCAGCATGAAGTAGCCCGTGGACATGGGTGGACGGGGAGTGGATGCTTTCGTCGTGTAGTAGCGTGACCCGGGCGCGCACCGTATCGCGCCCGACTTACGACCGGTGCCGACCGGTCCGGTACACGGGCAATATCGACCGACGGCTGGGCGGGCAGTCTGCCCGGGACTCGGCGGCACTGGCGGCCGATGGGGGCTGTAACTACTGGTCTGCTCGACATACAACACCGACCGTACGGGGACCCGCAGTTGCTACTGTACACGATCCCCAACTCTAGCCGTCTGTCCTGTCCAGAAACAAACGATAACATTGATATCGACTGCCGGTCCCTGTACAAGAGCAGCTGAGGTTTTCTGTGCGTGCCCTCTGACAGCTTATCGTTGTTCCCTGTGAGGGTGCTGGAACAACTTACTCAGGGTCGTTGTACAGTAGCAACTGCGGGTCCCCGTACCATCACACGCAAAAACCGCAGCTACAGAACAACAATAGAAACAATCGACACAGCCCTGTTCACAACGCACAGAAGCAACCGTTTCAACACAGCTCAAACCATCCAAAATTCAAATACGGCACATACTGTCTGACTCTGCACTTTACACCTCAGTCAGAAGTTCAACACACAGCACCCACATTTCCGATACAGGACCCATCTTTCCGATACAGCATCAGCCCTTCCCATAGAGCACCAGCCGTCCCTTTATAAAGCGTTCAACAATTTCCACCAGCAGCACCAGCACATCGCCCTACTGTTATACATTAAACGCTTCATCGAAACGAGATCGTCCCTGGGGGACCACGTCTCCTCGAGAAGCCATCGTTTACAGAGTCCAATTGCAAGACGCTCAGAGGTAAAACTAGCAGGTTATTCCCATACATGTTCCAATAGGGAACACTCTTGTGATCCAACGATAGCCTTAGCCGGTAAAACCCATCCTGTCACATCAGATCAATGCTTCATCAACTGACGGTGACAGCACTTAGCTCGCACATTGAGCACCGACAGGGATCCCCACGGTCGGCGCCAGCAACAGGATGGGTCCGTCCCACAAAGTCAAACTCAGCTGATCGATACGCCAACATAATTAATCACAAACGGTCGTCGTCATTGGCCCGGCGCACACGCGAGGCGGGTCAGCCTCCGGGGGTGCTGTGGGAGCCCGCGGTACCATACTGATACCGTCCTAGCGCAAACAGTAGGCGCTAAACCCCCTCCCCTACGTCAGATCCGCGCCCCGCGCCCAACCCCACCCACCCCCTGGCACAGCTGACCGCGGCAGGTCACTCGAGCGCGGCTGGCCGTCAGATCTCTGACGTCACTCTGACGTCAACAGAGCTCACGCTCGCCGCTGCTTCCAGGAAGACTGGCATCAAAGATCATATAACCGTTTTAGGGAGAGCTATTTGTGGCGTTTGCGATGGCTTGGCTCTCTGCCGCACAGACAGTGCTTTGGCTGTGAGGGGGTTGGGGTGGGGGTAGGGGGTAATCATTAACGTCCATCAGTCCTGGATCAATGTAGGTGGGTTACATCATCGCCCGCTAGCGTATGACCGTGTGGGCAGCAACGTCTGCCGCTCGCTGAATGTCATCGGCAAAAGTATCGAGCCAAAGAATCAAATTAACTGGATCTATTTACATTATTTATTGAAGACCTACCATTACCGCAAAATTAGTGTTATACGTGAATATAGTGTGCCAAGGCAGAGGCGAGGCGACGTTGTTATCTAGTTCAGACACGCAGTTTCTGTCGGATGGCTGCTTGGTCTCGCATCATGCAACTTTAAACAGATACAGAAGTGCTCTTAAGGCATCATCTTAAACCTGCTTAAAGTTTCATTGAAGAAGTTGATTAATCGACATTAAAAGGAGATCGTTTGAAATGGAACCAGATTACACGGCTACGCAGTCGAAGGTGAAAAATTAACGAGGTCTACCATCATTTACCAAGGTCAAGCAAGCCTCACTCTCGGATTCTGCTAGCCCCTGTGGCTTAATCATCATTTTAACTTTTAAGCACCAAATGAGTGAATCAGTGTTGTCAATACCTAAGTTCGAAGAAAGGTTTCAATCCATAGAATAATTACAGCAGGTGCATCAAAATACTACCAACCTTAAATGTCAGCCCGTCCACAAGTCAGCTGCATTAACTTTATTGACCGGCCGTAATTGTCGTTCTGTGGCGCGTGCATAATGGCTTCCGTGCCGCGCTAAGCACCAGTGATTCTGCTATGAAAGAGGTGTGCACTCCATCAGCTGTTGGCCCGTGCTTTGGTCGCGACAGGCAACCATTGAAGGCCGTCGATGAATGGTGCTGATCGTTATAATGATCTGTTAACGATTTACTAATAGCAGCCGTGATGAATGACTTCAGAAAGATTCAGTTACTAAGCGGATTTTCCAGCGCCAAGCCAGCCTTAAATTGTGTTCAGCTGTTATGCAGCGAATGAAAACCATTTGTCACGGATGCCTGGCGACCTGACCCTTTGAGGGCCGCAATTGCGGTTACATAACTTCAGTTGGGCCAAACTGATTTGCGATTCCTAGTTACGGTGCTCGCTTTGTCAGTGAATTGATTCGGCACTGGGTTCGAGCTCCGGGTTCGAGCGAGCTCACGAATCATTGAAAGGCTGTCAGTCAGGTGGGAAGTACCATAAATGAAATAACGCTTGAAATATACTTTACGATTCAGAGTCCCTACCACTTTCAAACGAAATCAGAAACTCCTGAACAGAGCAATCCTAGCGAAACAGAGGACGGACCACCTCGCCCCTCGCACAAACTTGCTCAGACCTCAATGTTCGCTAATAGTAACCTGACGCGCGGGAGTTCCAACTCTGGTCTCCTCGGGGAGGCGGGCGGCGCGTGCGACACTGAACACGCTGAATGAGTGATGAACCAGCGAGAAGCGGTCGCCGGCCGGGCCGGCACGTTCAGACTGGTCGCTCGAGGGACGGGTGAATATTTCACCGGCCCCAGCCGCCCGTCCTGTCGTGACGAGTTCAACGTGCGCCTGTGATAGCGACGCGCACCCACGAGACTCCTCCTCCGGGCCAGCAACTTCTAGGAGGGACGGGTTGAACTGAATCTATACGAGTAGTCACGTAAACCTCGTCCTTTTGTAGGCATAGTCAAAGCAAACTGTGCAATGCGCATCTTCCATATGTCACCTGCTTTCAGTAGCGGTCACATGCAAAGGCAAATTATCTTTGCTTGAGATAATTGCTTGTCTTGGCCTAAAGAAATGACTTTTTTCGTAAAAATGCGCAACTTTCCTCGAAAGTTCTGAGTAAAAAGTTCTTTGAAGGATATCGAACCCTTTATAGCAGCATTTACTTTTTAAATTTGTAGCGACAACGACAAAACCCTGCCCCATGAAATGAACTATACGGCCACTACCTGAAACATTAACCTGAACAACACAACCGTAGCCGCACCGAACGTTACGACCAGCTACAGTCGATACCTGCACCCTGCGGACGACCCCAGCAGTACCCACCGGACGTTCACCATCCAGCCCTGACCGGTACAGCGGCCACCCAGGGAGGTGTGCCGCTGAGGCAGGTATCGACCCGAGGAGGCGCGGTGCGGTGCTTACCGAACAGTCGGGGTCGGGCACGTAGCAGAAGTCGCCGGACGCAGAGGTGGGCATCCAGAGGTGTTCGCCGTTGACCGCCGCCTCTGACCAGTCGCAGGTACTGCGCAGGGTGCGCCGACCGCCCTCCGCCTCGATCTCGATCTCGCCCGTCGCCGCCTTCCTGTGGTGGGAGGGAGGGAGGTTAGGTCAGTCGGAAATGGTACGGAGATTTGTGACAGGAGCGGTTACAATACGGCACATGACATATCGACACTTCGATGGGCAGAGTAGGTCCTACTCATAGGCGCCTGTATCCTACTCAGAAGGATACAGGCGCCTTTCAGACGGCCGCATTCTAAAACGGGCAATGAGCAACACAAGAACAACGGAGAGTGAAAACACTCACAGCATCGCCGGTAGCTAACGCACTATTCATGTTTCCTTAGCGAGCAACTTTCGGTTACGTAATCCTTGTAAAGGGGGTTCTAACAAGAGCTGACTAGAGGGGTTCCGGTTACGCCATTAACGTGAATAATGTATGAACGTTATAAATACGTTTGTTCAGGCAGCAACAAGGGATCATAGCTGCAGGGAACAGACAAAAACGTGGTTTCGACGTCACTCTACACGGAATCAATGCGTGCAGAGCAAGAAATGGAGCTACAGTTTCGCAGTACCGGCCCAGGTATTCCCGTAGGTGACAGGAGTTGGGATTAGTTGCCGCCTGAAATGATCGACTCAGTCGCAAGAAACAGGATGTGAGAGGTATGTGTTTGATATTGTTCTAATGTCGTTCACTCAAGTAATGCGTGTTCTGACAAAGATGTCTGTTGGAGACGGCGTGAACAATGCTTGAAAAAAAAACAGCCTGCGCTGTCGGAGTCCTGAACGAACTTTACAAAGACTGACAGAGCAGGCAGGCATCCGAGTGCAGGTGAGACAGTGATTCAGAAATGTTGTACAACCATACGAATAATAAAAGTGTATTCCTTCTAATCGCCGACACATTTGAGGTCCAAATTCAGATTCATTAGAGCACCATTCCGTTAATGATGGGTGACCTTGGCGGGCTTCGCCATAACAAATTTTGCAATCCCTTCATACTAAATATCGAAATTCCGCAATCATCTAAGCATTCACCCACCTTGCAAAAGCCTCTGACTCGGTACCATCCCAGATCCAGCCCTTCGTACACATCTTCCTCTTCCACGTCTCCGGAGAGATATCTCCTACCAGTCCGCCATGGAAAAAGCAACTTGTTTTCTCATTGAATACCTTTTCCCTTCTGTGGTACTCGAAACAAGAGTCTGCCTTATGTTCATTGACTGGTGTCAGGTTTTTTCCTTCGACGTCTTCCAAACACTCATCGCTTACGTTTTCTACCCTGTCACAAGTTTTGATACTGTGTGCCGCATGAACGCTCTTGGAATGCGTTGCGTTGTTGACACCTTCCAAAAGCTTGCAATTATCCCAATTATCGCTCACCAATGAGCATGATCCATTCATATCCCCTGACTTGGCTTTATCTAGGGGAGATTCAGTGTTCAATCGCAAATTTGTGTTATTGTGATGATCTCGTGCAAGCTGAATGTCATAATATAGTTCATATTGTTCGGTTTCCGATACATATCCTTGCTTCTCAGCTTGTTCGGCAGTCGACCCGTCATATGTGGATACTAGTCCTCTGAATGGCGTGCAGGCTTCTGCTATTGAAGGTTGCATCGATCCACACACAGCAGCACCCACTGCTGATCGTGCTGCTCCTTGAGCATCTCCTGATTGCAATGACGTCCAAGATGTTCCTAGAATGCATGTGGTCGGTGCTGATGAACCTGGCGTTACTGTTGGCGGCAGCACTGAAAGTTCACCATCCTCAACTATCATTGGTGGATGCTCATCCTGTGTCGGTAACACTGCTGCTGTTGGTTGTTGAGCCACCGTCTGTTCATCTTCCTCCGCTGATGACACAACTGCCGGTGGTCCTCCCACTCTCGGCTGCCGCCGTGAGCACGATGTGGAGCGCCGCCGTACCCCGCGCAGGACGGCAGCCGGTTCAGGATGTCCCGAGCAGCAGAGCACCGCCTCCAGCCACCGCTGCACCCGCAGCACCAGGACGCACCACCAGTCGGGCTGCATCGGGGCAGCTCACTGGTGCACCGCAGCAAATGTCAGCGGGGCCGGCCGTCACGACCGTGACCTACACCGGGCCGTCACAGCGTCACAGGCCGGCCGGGCCCGTCATCGGCGAAGAGCTCCGCCCTGTCACAGGGAGCTCCGTCATCGGCAGGAAACTCTGCGCTGTCACAGGGAACGCTGTCCTGTCACAGGGCTATATCAGTAATGACCGACTGTTGGAAATATCTTGTCAATCTCCCTCTCTTCTATCTCTCTACCTAGTATCGAGAGAAGAGAGTCGGAAGCGTGTCTCAGGTCGAAAAATGAGCCTTTGGACTGATGCCCTGTGCCTAGCACTCAAGTCCCATTTTGATCCTGCCCCACTCCAGTTCGCCCTCTCCGCCCCAGTTCGTTCCCGTGTCTCAGCCGGTCACCCTCCACACCACCCCGGTCCCAGGGGAGCTCCCGGGCCGGCGGCGGCCCTGCCACCGAGGTCGGTGTCGCGGTGACGCCTGGAGGCCGTCCGTCTGACACTGGGAGAGAACACAGCGCCGGGGAGCTGACACACGGACTGGACGGACACCAGACAGCCACGGGAGGCGCGGCGTCGACCGGGGCCACCGGCCGACACCAGCGGCGACACGGGGTCAGTGTGGCGGGGTGATGGAGGCGGTGCGTCAGACAGGGGCAGTGAAGTGAACGGATGTGAAAATGTTGCCTACTGTATAGTTCTTTGCTGAGGTGGTCAGCTGGTCACGTCTTATACCAACTTCTGGTCAAAACACAAAACTATTTAGACGCAAACAAGTTCGTCCCAGCTGGGCTTGATTGCTCCCTCGGTAGCAGCAAAGTCGATCGGTGGTTAAATTCGGGTAAACTGCTTTCGAAGCTCACTGTTTTATGAACCCATATGCCCGTAGCCGCGGCTACAGCAGCTAAAGCAAAATTATTTGACATAAAAAGGGTGCGTTATCACATAAAACTGTCTGGGATGGTGTCGAACAGGTATCCATGCATTAACAATCGAGCCATGTCTCACCTTGTGATGCAGGCTGAACAAAACAATTATCGAGTCGGAGTGGATGACGTTAGTACCAAAATTAGATTGAACACAGGAATAGAGCTGCAGTGGGGTGAGAACGGAGCCTTCGTCAACATACTCCAATATTCAGACTAGTCTATAGGCAAGCCATAATGATAGCGCTCTGGTGACGTTGAAGATACAAATCACTTCTAGGAGATGCAGAATGGGGTCGGAGCTATTCGTTACCATGGCACAATAATCCAGCACTCCATAGTAACATCGGAAAGTTACCCGAATTAATGCTTCCCGAAATGTAAGGCGATTCCAGTTAAGTTGGGCCAGTTTAGCGGATGACTTGCCCCTGACAACTACATATCCATCCCGCTCAACTTTAAACTGTAAGCATCATGCGACAAGCTATCTCGATGTTCGACAGTATGAAAGCTTCTGAAGAATGTTGACTACCCTGTTAGATATTTCATCAGACCACTTAGATAAGATGTTTATATTAGCTTTAACCCGGCAGTTGCTGGGGTATTTCGCCACCCACCGTCTGCTGGGGGGGGGGGGGGGCGTTAAACGCCCCCAGCCGATAACTCGAGAACCAATAGGCGCAGCGAAACGCAGAGGCGGCAAACGAAAGAACGCGACGAGACGCTTCAGATGAGTACTTTAAAATTGAATTTTGAGGTCACAGGTCGGGTCAAGGTCAGGTCAAACACCTGAAATCGGGCTTTCAGGAGCATGGACTTCAGGACTTGGCAATGGGCGCCTCCCGTCATAAACTCTGTCAAAACGGTGCACAATCCATCATATAAGGCCTACAAGAGTGTCAGCTCCATGTAGGGGTCAGTCAAGCATAGGTCAGGGTCAAGGTCAGGTCAACCGGGTAGGCACATATCCCCGAAAATCAAAACTGATATTCGCAGCCTGTGACACATGTTTTATGGGTAATTTGGGGCGTAGAACACGATGGTGACATTCATTCTTATCATATGTGTACGTGTTTGGCTCAAAAAGTTTAATTTAAGAAATGCATGTATCATGGTCGTGAGGTAGTCACGAGAAATTGCGGAACGATAATCAATAATCGAAGATAGCCGTTTGATTGTTCATGGTATGGGCAGTCTAATGGCGTTTACGGCATGTCTGTATGTCTATTCTGTGATTTTATATGATTTTTTGAACATATGCCGTTTTTGGTCTAAAACTCAGAAATCATGACGTCACTAAAACCTCGATATCTCAAAAATTTTCAAACTGATTTTTTTGAAACTTTGTCACAATGAACTTCAATCAATTCCCTACAGGTACCCAAAATTTGGCGCGCCCGCCGTTTTTATGCTATGGCCCGGCGAAAAAAGTGGGGGCGTTTAAAGCCCCCCCCCCTCAGCAACTCGCGGGTTAAAAGCATGTCGCTGACAAAGTGACAAGGTTTACATGTACCAAAAGTATTTAATATGCATCGTTAAGCATCGCCCAAAGACACATATGAAATATGCTGCTTGCCTTACAGTGCTGACACCTAAACTGGTGGCATTGCATACACAATGCTACACTTTCGACACAACATGACGATTAACCTAACATCTCGGCCACCATTGCTGTCGTCTGATGCTTTGATTTTTCAGCTATGACCTAGCGTTTCTTGTTCGAATTTCAACTAAATCTAGGCAGCCATCAGTGCGTAACGATGAGCCTTTTCTGATCCGATAGACAGCCGTTTCTTTTTCGGTCGCCGCCCTGGAGAACCTGCTTATCGACAGCGTGCGTCGAAATAACTCTCAGAGTGGTCGAGCGAAGTTGCTGCAGTCAAAGCACAGAAATATCGGGATCATAGTTCAATCGAGCATGAGCGCGCCTCCATTCCATCGTCTTTCTATAGGCGGAGTTGCCAGGCAACTAAGAGGTACGATGATCAGAGAGGCGTGTCTTTGAGCCCAGGACGTCCCCGAGTACAGCGATCAAGGCACAGCCACGCGGAGTGCACCTGTTTTAGCGAGCATGCAGATGACTGGAAGCGGCACAGCCGGGCGGCGGGTCCGTTCGAGCGACCTGGGTGACCTGTCCGCCGGTACGGGCACCTAAATTAGATCCAGGCCGCCGTGCATATACGGGAGCTAAAGCCGGATTGCACCCGGGTGCGGCGGGTGGTGCAATTAGTCAATCGGCCATGCGGGCGGGGCGTGAGAGACTCACATGTGCACTGATAGAAATCGACGTGATTACACCGACCGAGTTAGGAACACTGGCATACATGATGTAATTGTGCACCTATTTATATGCGCATTGCAAAGTAGGACACGATGAGCGAAGGACGTATGCAGATAGTTTACAATTACGTAGATGCCCAAGATAAATTGCTAATAAACAGAGTCACTATGAAATATTTGCTATTACGCTACCTACTCAGCAAGATGTTCGCACGCTGGGGAACTTAGGAACTTTCCCTCCGATACCAACACTCCCAGCCCCACGAGCAGGAGACAAAAAGCCAGCCCTCAGCTCCAAACAACCAACTACCCCTCCCCCTCCCTTCCGGCGGTGCCTCAACAAGTCGCCTCTAACCTGTTACACCCATCTCAGCACCAGAGCGGTGCGCCAATTCCGCCCAGGCGTCCGCAGATTCCGCCCAGCCCTCCGCGCCCGGCGGAGGACGGCGGAAGCGGCACGGCGTGCTCGGCATGACCTCGTCGCCGGCGACGTTACCAGGCGGCCGTCGGCGCGTCGCCGGCGACACTGGCCGCCCGGCAGATGAGCGGCCTAATCGCCTCATTAGGGGGCGCACCAGACGGCCGCTGCCGCGCCGCCGCGGCCGGAAACAATCTCTCTGCCCGCCCTCAACTTGGCACAGATATGAAACGGGAATTAAATTGTCACGGGACGCATACTAAGAGGATGATTGGTCACGCCGACGCACACAACAAAGGCTGGCGGCGACAGAAGGCAGAAGAAAGGTTTCGTAGGTTATAGGACAAATTTCATAGGCCAACGCAAGAGAAGCAAAAAGTTCTTGACAAGCAGAATGCACGGGCCTTCCACCCAAAGTTTACGGCAGATGCACTCAGAGAACGGCAACTCATTGCCTACGAATAAGAAATAACAAATGACCAAAATAAGGAACATAAAAAGCGGCCATGCTTTGGGCGGCAAGCACACTCCGGATACACCATTTTAGGCTAGAAAAACACAGCAAACTACAGCACATCGCTAAAGGATGTAGGTGAATTGTGCAATAACGGCTCATGGATAAACAATTACACATACACTGCCGCCTGCAACATGTCATATATGCTGCACATTATTTTGCGGCTGTGCACGGGCTTACGTCTCACGCGGTCTGAGTTATGTTCCCGTGCTCATAACATGGCACACAGCGCCATATTAATCACCAGACGTCACAGCCCATGAACAAGCACAGCATGTCAGTCGAACCTACATGCAGGACTGACTGCTGCAATATTGCAGTCACTGCGCTGCGGCAAGGCCATCGCGGTAAAAATGGTGGCACGACCGAGCTCAGCACCGAAACTTTAGCCGTTTACCCTAGCAGAAACACTGAACCGTGAACGTCCTGTTGGACAGCGGGTGCACAAACTGCACAATGCACATTCGATCGCAAGAGGTGAGCGCCGAACTTCAAGTAGGACGGGTAATAGGTCACCTGAGTTTATTTGTGAAAAAAAAAAAATTGTCAAAGAAATCATTATTGAAACTATACAAAATACAAATTGCGTTCAAAATCCAAACAGATAAAGAATCCCACTTTGCACAGGATAAAGAACGGCGAATCACACACATCAGCTACTGTCCTAAACGAATGAGCTGGAACCGTTTTCTCAGCCCATTGGATGTATGGGACCCACTGCAGCCAGGGAGATACATGAGCCGGTCTGTACGGGGTCTGATAACATTGGCTCCCCTGACAGCGACCGTTCGTCGCCCGGGATGGCCTCCATCCCCCGACGTTCGGGAATGGGCGGCCGTGTTCCCGTCCTCAGGCACCGACAGGGGGCTAACAGGCAGATGTTTCAGCGTCAGGGAGGGCCAGGTGCCGCAACAGAGGCTAGGCTGAGGGTCCAGAATAGTCACAGGGTCCAGCTTGGTCTGAGAACCTTAACTCTCGTCTGGTCTCAGGCAGTCGTGACCGGTTATGAAGCTCTCGATTCCAGCCTATCGAGATAGCGCTGAAACCACCACAAACACGGCGCGGTGCGTGAAGCCGCTGATTTAGCGCGTATCGTGGCTTTCAGGTTATGATGACCGATTATGAGTGGATTTGGGGACTCCCGCGCCCTGATCGGATTGAGCCCACGACCACAGGTCGATAGCAGCACCGCCGCGGCTGGCGGTGGGAGCACCTGTTGCACCGTGTTAATGTGACGCTGACGCACTAGAATAGCAAGCCGTATCGGCAGCTACGATACGATCCCGGTGTTGTTTACGCCCAAAGGATCAGCAAACGTGCGGCTGCGTTAAAAATTAATTACAACGGGTCATTACACGCCCGTGCGGCGTGCAGTACCCGACTCCGCGGCAAAAATATTCAACGTAATAAGAATGGGGAACAGCTGAAGGACCGCATAGTAAGACGAAAATTCGAGCGTATGAAATGAGCACGTAACGGCATGCATCGAACTAACCTGCTCCGTCTCCGAAAGGGCAGGTAGGCAGTGTAGGTGCACTGTTCCTCGGTGGGGAACCCGATGTCGACCGAGGTGGAGCGCACGGGCGGCCAGTCGTTCACCTCCAGCAGCATGCCGGACTCGAGGCTCTGCGTGTGCCGCGGAGACAGGGAGGGCTCGGCGGAGGCGCAGCGCCGGATCGGGCCCGCCGACGGCCGGTCAGCCATCTCGGGCACCTCTAGCCAGATCTCCGTGTACTCGCCGATGTCGCTGCTCGAGCCGAGAAACCACGACCGGTCGGCAGAGTCGGCCGCAGAGTCGCGCGACAGCTGCGACGCCGTGGTGCCCAGTGAGATCTGGCGCGAGCTCTGGCGGCTGGGCGGCGCCGAGCGGGCCGCCAGAGAGGTCTGTCGGGTCGGCGGGTGGGTCACCAGCGAGGCCTGTCGACTGGCCGGAGCGGATGACACGTTCATGGATGTCTGGCGCGGCAGGTAGTGGTGCGCGTGCACCGGCACGTCGTCAGAGTAGCCCGAGCTCTGCCGAGAGAATGACGAGTAGATGGAGCTGTTCCACGAGCGGCAGGACAGCACAGACGACTGGCGCGAGTAGGTCGAGCCGGCCGACCTCCCCGAGCCCGCCGACGGTATCGAGCTCTGCCGCGACGCGTCCCAGTCATCATCGTCATCCTCTTCATCCGGATCGAGATCGGCGCGCTGCAGCGCCGCCTGACGCTCCAGTTTCGGAGACGGCGAGCGGCAGATGCGGGCCGGCGGCTGCGGGGACGGGGCCGGCGACAGAGACGACCCGCTGACCGACGAACAGGACGAGTGGCGCAGGTCCAGCGACGAGGAGGTCGAGTTGCGGCTGAGCGTGACGCGGATGGGACAGACGCCGCGCGGCGGCTCCGGTGGCGGGCTGCCGGTGCCGCCGCTCTCCTGCGACGAGTCATCCCGGGTGCCCCTGCGGCCCAGCTCCTCCATGCAGACGCAGTGCCAGCAGGCGTGCGGCGTGTCCCGCCCGCCGCGCTCCGAGAACAGATACCGCCGCCGCCGGGTCCGCACGCTCGACGTTTCGTCACACTCGTCCAGGCTCTTACTCTTCTTGGCCGACTGTGGCACGCGCAGGAATGATGTGACCTTGGTCCCTCCGACCCCGCCACCGGTGACGCCGCCGCAGCCTCCGACCCCTCCGAGCTGACCTCCTCCGTCAGCGGCCCCTCCGCCCGCTCCCGGGGATTTGCTGAGCTGCATTTCATCAAAGCTGGCTGACCGGATCTGTTTGGGCACCTCGAGGCTGCTCTGCGCCTTCAGCTCGGTCCCGCTGGGCGTCTTGGAGCGCGTGAATGGGATGCGCAGTCGCTGCATGGTGCTGTTGGTGGCCGGGCGGCGTCTTCCTGAGGTCAGGTCTCTGAGTCTTCACCTCAGCGTGCCGGCGAGGTCCGCCAGCTGAACGCGGGCCCGGCAGCCCCTCGGCAGCCTCTGCGGCCCATGACCACCGATAGTCCTGTCGCCTGTGGTGGGTGGTGGCTGAGTGAACTCCCCTGGACGCGTGCTCACTGCTGTGACTCACTGCTGCTGGGTCCGCGGTCCCTCGGGGGCCCCGGGGAGGGTACACAATACAGGGGTTCCGAGCACTCCCAGTTCCCACCAATAACTAATATTGTGACACATTGTCAAACCGTATCTTAAAAAAAAACATATATCCGTATTACTTAGGACTATTTTCGCTTAAATGTATCCATCTTTCTTTGCATCAGGGGAAAGTGTGTTTGCGACCAGGCTTTTGTGAAACTTCGATCACTACATGGGTAAACTATGAGATATGCACATCGAAGTTGTCATTTGCTAGGCAGACTTGTAGTGTAGTGTCCCGTTCAGATGCGGTACACAATTTTTAAATGTATTGGTCTTAGGAAAAGTGCATATGAAGTAACGCGCGTAAAAGTTAAAAAAATGATGAAAACATCTTATCATGATTACGACTATCCACGTAAATGAACAGCAGCATTGATCTCACAAAACACTGATTACTTCACTTCGAAATTGCTCGCCGTCGCATCAAAGCGTTCGATTTCCGATTCCCCAAGTCGTGAATGCCGTGGCGCCATGTTCAGTTATTCCGAAACGAAGCGACCATTGACCATTGACCATAGACTATCAATGATGCAGCGAGGAGCGGTGTGCCATTATTGGAGAGAGAGAGAGAGAGAGAGAGAGAGAGAGAGAGAGAGAGAGAGAGAGAGAGAGAGAGAGAGAGAGAGAGAGAGAGAGAGAGAGAGAGAGAGAGAGAGAGAGAGAGAGAGAGAGAGAGAGAGAGAGAGAGAGAGAGAGAGAGAGAGAGAGAGAGAGAGAGAGAGAGAGAGAGAGAGAGAGAGAGAGAGAGAGAGAGAGAGAGAGAGAGAGAGAGAGAGAGAGAGAGAGAGAGAGAGAGAGAGAGAGAGAGAGAGAGAGAGAGAGAGAGAGAGAGAGAGAGAGAGAGAGAGAGAGAGAGAGAGAGAGAGAGAGAGAGAGAGAGAGAGAGAGAGGAGAGAGAGAGAGAGAGAGAGAGAGAGAGAGAGAGAGAAGGGAGAGAGAGAGAGAGAGAGAGAGAGAGAGAGAGATAGAAGAAGATAGAGGAGAGAGAGAGAGAGAGAGAGAGAGAGAGAGAGAGAGAGAGAGAGAGAGAGAGAGAGGAGAGAGAAGAGAGAAGAGAGAGAGAGAGAGAGAGAGAGAAGAGAGAGAAGAGAGAGAGAGAGAGAGAGGGAGAGAGAGGAGGAGAGAGAGGAGAGAAGAGGAAGAAGGAGAGAGGAGAGAGAGAGAGAGAGAGAGAGAGAGAAGAGAGAGAGAGAGAGAGAGAGAGGAGAGAGAGAGAGAGAGAGAGAGAGAGAGAGAGAGAGAGAGCGAGAGAGAGAGAGAGAGAGAGAGAGAGAGAGAGAGAGCGCGAGAAGAGATGAGAGAGAGAGAGGAGAGAGAGC